CATGTGATTGATGATTTTTTTTAAAAGAAGAATGAAATAAAAGCCATTATTTTCTCATTCGTTTCTATAACTATTAAATACTGCAATAGTTCTCTTTGCTCCCTTTAGTTCTCTTATTGGTCCAAAGTATCGCTAAAAACCAAATAGAAAGAAAACTAAAAATCAGGAGAAATCAGGAGAAAATGTTGAAAATCAGCTCCTGAAATCAGGAGATTTTCTATCAGGAGAGAAGTCCATAAATCAGGAGTCTCCTGGTCAAATCAGGAGGTTTGGCAAGCCTGATCCAAGTGCACTTTCCAAAACTTTTATCTACGATTCTGCGTACCAATCCTTCAGTCATCGCAGATTTTATACAACAAAAAACTTTGTCTGCTATTCTGAAGAGATTATTTATTGAATCCAGTTTTGAAAAAAAAGCAAGCAATTGCAACAAGAGGAAGAACATCGAATCGTATTCGGCAACTACTATCGGCTTGTAAACAATCTCTTTTTGATCAAATTTTTTTGTTTTACGTAACACTAAAGAAGAATAAGATCAATTCAGCAATTAAAGATTCACTATTAGGACTAGTCGTAGAATTGATTTATATTATGTCAAATATTTTTTTTCTTTGGATACAACTATAGATATTTTTCTTACTAGTGGAGATCCGAAAAGAAGAAAAATAAAATAAAATAAAATAAAAATAATAACTATCAGATCGTTCAATGTCTGTAATTGTTCTCGTTATAATCACATCACATTCTTTCTCCACAAAATCCTTTCCTTTTCTTTCATGCTGTGATAATGTTATCGTACGTGGTTTTTTTTTTACTTCTCAGGGCTATAGAGACAATGTTCGTCTAAGTCTTCCCTTCTGTGTTCTACTATACTATATAATACCTATTACTACTTTTCTTATAATAGATAAAGCAATACACTAACTAAAATAGTTCATCCGTATTTATTCACATGCAATGTGCACGTAGTCTTGTTTATTGACAGAATGAAAAACAAAGAGTTGAAGGGAAAAAGATCATATTGATTTTGACTTTTTTTCTCTTCATTTTTCTTTGCTGACATTCTTAGCAATCTTATAGAATCTCCTTATTCATAAGTTCATTTTTGTTTTATAGAAGAATGACAGAACATATTGATGGTAAGCGTTTACATGAAGATCTTCGTTATCGCTTTGAGTATATAGCTAAATTTATAAATTTTACAAGTGATGATGTAAAAGCGTTAAATGCATTTGCAACAACGGCTCTTCCACTTGTTCCGGTAATTGTAGATGCTGTTTATCGAAAGTTATTTCAATTTGATATAACAAAAGAATTCTTCGTTTTACGTAATGATGGCTTTGATGGTAGATTAAAAAAAGATGAAGTACTTACGTTAGATTCAGCACAAATGGCTTATCGTCGAGATATGCTAAGTGATTATTTAAAACGTTTATTATTACAACATGAATGGGCAGATGATTTTCTTCAGTATCTTTCACGAATCGGTCGTTTACATGGAAGTAAAACTGGGCAAGGGTCAATTAATGTTGATTACATTCATATGAACGCAACATTATGTTACGTTGAAACTCTGCTTATTGATTCTGTTTGGCATACAGAAAATTTGGATAATAAAGCAAAAAAAGAAATTTTAATAGCAATAAATAAAGCATTTCGAATTCAAAATGATTTATTACTATTACATTATCTTGAATCATCAAAAGAAAGTGATGCATCAACGCGTCATACAGCAAAGAAATGTGTTTGTAGTTAACTTTTTTTTGCTTTGCTTTTGTCTGTAGAATAAAAAATAATATAAGAAAAAGCTTTAAAATGCTATGCTCGATGACATTTTCATTATTCAAATAAATAAACAAATAATTCATTCGAACGTTTTCTCTTATATTTTAATTAGAAACTGAAAACTCTCAAGAGAAATACAATGTGCATATAAGAAAGGAAAACAGCACAGAAAAATCAAGGACAAAAGCGGAAAGACGATTAATAAAGGAAATAAATATACTGAAAAAACCTTGATCAAAGTTAACAGCTGGTAAGAAAATACTAAAGCAAACATACGATTATGCAAAAGAGAAATCAATTTATTGTCTTTTTGTTTGGTGAGACAATTCTATCAAAAGATTAACAACTACCAATCAATTACGAATCATGCATCATTTCTTCTTTCAATGATATATTGCATTAGAAAATATCGAACTAATATTGTTTTTTTTATTATATTGCTTCAAATTGATTTTAGTTTTAATCTGAAGAAAATATTCATAGAAAAAACACCTGGATAGTACTTGAAGATTTCCTTGTCACTAGAGTTGTCGTCTTTTGTAATTTGTTTTACATCTGACGACGGTTGATCATTAGATATTTCTCTGGAATTTTAACAAAATTGATATAGATATATTTAATTAATCAAATGTTGTAATCTCTAATATTGACAAATTCGTAGTAGAGACCACTCAGATCAAGAGTTTGCAACTAAAACAGTTTTTGACTAACGTTCTGAGAAAAGACTCGTATGAACTTTTTCAATAGAAATAAAGTTTTGCAAAAAAAACTGAAATATTGTTAAGTCGATCGAGAAATTATTGTTCATTCTCAGTTTTTTTTATTGAAATCCCAGAGAAACACCTGACGATCCACTTTCTAGGAATGGGAAGGAATCTCCGAATGAGGCTTTTCCACCTTGGATTTAATCCTGCCGATCCTATAGAAATTTTCTATATATTTTTACGAATGTTGATTTACTATATATTATTTCTTTAACACCACTTATTGTTAATCAATAATCGTGAAATTTTTCAAAAAATGATCTTTTCATGAGCTAGAAATATTACATCTTAAAAACGCGAATGCTGTTGAAAAGTGCAAGGGGATTTTGTATTTTACGTTTGACTAATATATTTTTTGTCATTGGAGAAATGAGTCTATTCCACTCAATAAGACAATTCTCTTAGTTGAAATTCTATTGAAAATATTTACTATCCAATGAATATTAAAATATGATCATAATTTTTTTGTCAATATTTTTGATTCTGTCTCAAAGTGTTGTTGAAATGAATGAATATAAATGATTCGAAGCAAGAAAGTATGCCATTAAATGTGTTTTAATCAGAACTCTCGCAAAATTCATTTTCAGTAATAAATGACAGAAAATATGATATTGAAATTGTTCATGTTATATGTATCTATGTGATTTATTTATATTTTATCATTTTCTATGATAATATCAACAGTGCATTAGATTATATTTGAGTTTCATTTACTCGAAAATATTCTTCACTCAACAGCTTATTTATCTATATAATCAAACTAGTGTTCAAGAACTTTTAACTTTTGAAAATAATTGAGTTAATTTGTAAAAGCTTATTTTTAAAAATTCTCATTTTTCCGCTACAATAAAAGCATATGATTGGACCATGATAGTTGATTCAACAGTGAATGATATACGTTGGTCACAGTTGAATGCTTTGACATGTTTAACTGTGAACTATATTATCATCAAGAAAAACAAAAGTAAATATCAACAAAAGAATGCATATGCGTTTTCATAATCATCGATTAGCAAGTGACGAATATGATTTACAATTAATATCGAATGGAGATAATCGTCCAATTTTCTTTAATATAATTCAATATGATGAATCACATTATACTGAGCATAATTTTAATTCATTATCAGAATTAAATGTATTTCTTACGACAACATCATGTTCCAGTAAAGATTATTGTACATGGATGAATATCGAAGGTATTCATCGAACAGATATTCTTGATGAATTATCGAATCGTTTTAATTTTCATGCCTTGACTAAAGAAGATATTTATACAATTAACGAACGCATGAAACTTGATTTGCTCGATAATGGTTCCTGTATTTATTTATTGATGAAAATGATCTATGTTCACTCAGATACGGAACATATTCATCAAGAACAAATATCATTTATATTAAAAGAAAACAATTTTTTAATAACATTTCAAGAAGCGAAAGATAAATCGAATTCCATGGATATATTTCAAATTGTTAAAAACCGTTTAAAAAATAATCGTGGAAGAATACGTTCATTAAAAATTGATTACTTATTTTATTGTCTAATTGATGTTCTTATTGAAAATTATATGTTTGTACTTGATCGTATAAGTATTAAAATTGATATGATTGATAAAGTATTAATGAATAAATTAAAACAAAACAATAATTCTGACATTTCATCGCATCATTTCGATTCTGAAACACTTAGGTTGATTTATCATATTAAACACGATATGTTAAGTTTTAGAATATTATGCCAACCATTAAGAGAAATTATTATTAAATTACAAAAAGCACAAGATAGAATATCTCTAACTAATCAAACTGTTCAATATCGACGACAATATCGAAGAAAGAAACGACCAAAACGTATCACGTTATCGGGAAATTATTTTTTTAATCCAAATTCTGATTCTCTCACGCATCGCTGGCCACTTGGATCTATTCAAGAAAAGGCGCCGTTATTTAATGAATATATTTTTATGTATTTCAAAGATCTTAATGATCATATTATTCTCTTACATGATCGTATTGATACATATTGTGATTTATTATCAAGTTTAATATCATTTTATGTAATACTTAACGAAGCTGAAATGAATAGAATAATGACATTTCTAACTTTAGTTTCGATTATTTTCATTCCATTAACATTTTTTTGTGGATTGTTTTCAATGAATTTTCAACACATGTCACCATTACGATGGTATTATGGATATTTTTTTATTTTATCTATTTTAGGAGCATGTGGTATACTGACAATCACTTTTTTTAAATGGAAAAAATGGTTATAAATCATAGCATTCTTATTGATTTCAGTTTTAGCTTGTATAAAACAACTAATTAGAACTTTATTATTATGTTTTTTCTTCTCATTGTATTCTTATTGTGAATAAAAATTTAGCAGAAATAGAATTAATTTAATTTAATCTAGATCAAGTGAACTCCTTCGATCTTTGAAAAATGTTTCAATCCACTAAATAGACAAATGAGAATGTTTTTATTTATTCAATTAATTGTGAATAAAGACATTCCAAGATATTTTTTCTAAAAAATATTCAGATCTAATAGATGAGAATTCTTTCGTAAGCACAATAATGTTTGCATCATATTTTATGTAGAATGTACAAGACTGAATGGAGAAAGAATCCAGTGGAAAATTTCAATGATTAAAATCGATTATAATTTCGAAATCCTCTGGGCATAATCGAAATTGGTAATTGGATTTTTCTGCAACAAAATCAAAATTATAATCGATTGAAATCGAAATTGGAATCACAGCCAACCGATTACAAGGTGATAATAATTGATTGATGTTGATTGGTAATTTCGATTTCAATCGATTAAAATTTTGATTTTGTTGCAGAATAATCCAATTGATAATTTTGATTATAATCAATAAAAATCGATTAGGAAAGTATAACAATCAATTGGCACAATTGATTCATGAACGTTAGCTCTTCTAGGACTCACAGGCGTAAGCTTAGTTATTGATTAAGAAAACGTTTTCAAGGAATGTCAACCGGACAGATCAGATGGTGTCCTTTAGGAAAACTCCAACGCATCAGCACTGTTACTACGAAGTAGAGAAACTTGCAAAGTTTATCATCAGTGTTTTATAAGGACCCAGGTCGAACAGTACAGTCCGTATGCGACCGTTTACTGTTACTTTACGACTATTTTCCGGGCGAAAGTTTGCCGTAATATCTGGCACAGTAATACGGACCGTATGGTCATGAGAGTATGGAGCACAAACAGCCGTAAGCCATGAAAATTCAGTCCCGTATTACTGTGCCCGGAGTAGCTGTCTAATTCGAGTTCGAATATAAATGGAGAAAACAAATTAAACTAAAACTAAATCTAGGAATAGATTTAGTTTTAGTTTAACTTTCCGATATATGCGACATATTAATACATATATACCCTTCACCCGCACCCACATTTGAAGACTCTTCCATAGTATCCATCACCCACACTCACATTTGAAGTATCCCGGGTACCCCTCCTACCCACCCCCTCACTCGTAACGCCATCCACAGTTACCCCTTTACCTCCTCAACCCACACCCATTCCATCTTAAACTAAATTTATTTCTATCATTTATTTTTCAATTGATACCATGCAGTTGAGTGTCCATTTATATTCGAATCCGAACTAGACATCTCATGTCAGTTTGAATAAGAAAGTCGACTTTGAAAGTTTTTCAACGATATTTAGAAACGGTAGATGTTGGTGAGTTGATGGTGCGTCTTAATAATAGAACTGATGAGAAATTCATGTCTCCGTCCTGGGCCTATGCAAACTAGAGACAAGTTCGAAAAGCATTCTTATCGATGGCTTTGTCCTTCGACTCAAAAATTAACTAGCTTCTTATAAAGCACTGATGATAAACTTTGCAAATTTCTCTACTTCATAGTAACAATGCTGATGAATTTGAGTTTGCCTAAAGGACACCATCTGATCTGTCTGGTTGGCATTCCTTGAAAATGTTTTTTTAATCTATAACTAAGCTTACGTCTGCGAGTCCTACAAGAGTCACAAGTTTAATCCATTATTACACAACTTGAATCTATTTCGAGCATTCTCAGGTTATCTAAGTTATAGTTATATATTTCCAGTAAAACGGGGAGAGGAAAATAAATACAGACGTTTTAATATAAAATTCTGGCTACGACCTGGTTTTACATGTGATTACTCCTTCCCTTTTTTACCGAGTGTTATTTATTGGAACTATATTTTAACATACAATTTACTACAATTTCTTCTCTCATTTCTATCACGACTATTCATTTGAACAGCTTCGAAAAAGTTCTCAAGAGCCAGTTTATTTGTTCTCACGTTGGAATTTTTTCAGTAAGTGTGCTTATAATTTCGATTATTCATTAAAGAAAATTTTATTATTAGATTCAAAATAAAAAAGACTGTAGTAGCGCGTTCTCAATTTTACCAAAAAATAGACTGATATCACATTTGAAGAACTCGTTGGAGTGCTATTGTTATGTAAAACTCAAATAGAAATCCACTAAAATCCAGAATTTGAGATATCGAGAATTAAATTCCTATATAATAGCATACCACAATCCAAACAGACGCTCTCATCTATTTCTGTAAGGAAAATCTAAATATCACTACTGTGTATTCTTTGGTTGTCTGTTCACCTTTGAAAATCTTCTACTTCTGTATTATCACAAGATAGTATCTTTATAAGAAAGCAAAGCACAATTCTACTAAATATGAGAAGAAGTTTTTGCATAAGAAAAGTTAAAATCCTATCAGAATAATGATCTAAAAGTGAAAAAAAACTGTACAAAATCTTTTTATTATCTTTGTTCAACTACTGTCTAAATATTCGAAATTTTCAGTGTACAGGTTTTTTTTCAGTATTTAGCGGCCTTCTGTAGAAAGAAGAGTAAATTTTTCATGGTTCTCGATCGAATTCCTGAGAATCAAAATCGAAAAACGCAAACATTTTAGATAGGACTGTGAACTATAAATCGCATGCAACATTTTCTCACCTGTTAATCAATTGTAGTCAATCATCACTTGTTAATTAAATTAATGCATAAACATTGAAAGCGTGTGCTTCTTCTTGATAGTCAAATGTTTAACACAAAACTTTTACGGTTTTTATATTTCTGATGTTTAAAATTATAGTTGTTAAAATCTCACAGGTAAGCTAAATTTGAATGTGCTATAAAAAGTTTTTTGAACTTAGATGGCAATATGACAAACCAATCGGTTAAAAATCCAAAAATTCGATTAACATTAACTAAAAATTTTTAATCCATTTTAATTCGTCCTATGTAGATACTTAACGTTTTTTACATAGTAATGGTCTAAATACATAGCGGTGACAGAGCTGATATTGTTTTATGTCCTACTCAAATAATGTGTGCTTTCTACTTATATAATACTCTCAGCGAGTTGAACTAAAAAGTCTAACTTTACACGCTCTGAGTTTTGGATGGACCCAATTTTTGACCAGTGGAAGCTCGAATCGAGAACATGATGGTGGATTCGGGTTCCTGTCCCGGTCGAAGAAAACGATCAGTAAACGGTCGTATACGATACAAATACGGCCCGTTTTACGTGCCGTATTTTCCCCGTATAACAGGGGCAGTAATACGGCCGCATGTTCTATAGAATACGATAATATTACGCCGGTTTACGGTGGTCCGTTTTGATCGACCTGGGTGGACCTCGATAACCTATTGCAAACTTTGATAGTTTCGAAGAAACTGTTTTGCGTGTTGGTGTAAGCGTGTCTCTCCACGGGATAGAGCATCTTTGAAATTCGTAAGAAACGCAAAAGAATTCAAGGATAATTTTTCATAGAAATTTAGCGCCAAACGCTGATGCGGCTTCTATTAGGTGCGATAGAGGAGTATTGACTATGCACAGGAAATGCAGAAATGGTCATCGGATCCTATTGGAAACTGATCGATAACGATACTAGGAAAGTATATTGATTTCGACGGTGGGATATCGGTGGTTGTTCGCATGAGTCCGACTTTCGAATCTATTGTCGGATTCCTCAATCCATTAATCCGATAAAATCCGGTCTGTACGTAGGAGCCGATCGGGTTCTGTATCGGATTGATCGACCTGGGTAGTTTTAGTAATTAGAAACAATCGATTGATCATCAATCAATTCGGTTTTAACAGATTGAGATTTTAATGTATTGAGAAGATTTTAATCGGTTGTGGGATTAAAATCTGGTTTCCGAAGCGTTAATTACAAACAATCGATTGTGCACGATTGGGATTTCAGTTGATTAAGAAGATTTTAATCGATTGTAGAATTAAAATCGGATTTAGCTCCTGTAATTAGAAATAACCGATTGATAATGTATCAATTTGATTTTCAAAGAGAGAAATTTCAATTGATTGGGAGGATTTCAATCAATTGTTCGATTGAAATCAGAGTTTAAGAGGTAAAATCATCAATAATTGATTGAATAGATTGAAATTTCAATCGATTATTGGATTTTAATCGGATTATATTACAAAAAGAGGTATGTTTAGTTCGAGAAATCGGGTTTGGTCAACCATCATCAAAAATAATCACGATTTTATGAGGGATATTTTTCACTGGGGATTCTCCATGTATTTTAATAATATTCTTTTTTCATCGATTATATTCAAGAGAATGTTGTACAAAGCATAGTTTTTTAAAAATCTTCATGTTCACAATTTGTTTTGTTGTTAATATACCTAACCCTAATCAAATGTAACGATAAAAACTGTTTTTAAAAGCATCATATTCATAAATATTTTTCATAAACTTATAAGTTTAATGGCAATTTAACACCAATGCTAGCTACGTTATCTTTCATTCAATTAGTTATTTTTTGATAGTGAACTCGAGTATTTTTGAGAAAAAACAATTCCAGCGAATAATATGTAATCGAGCAAACGTGTTCAGGATCTAGTTTTATTAGACATGATTATAGATGTGTCGTTCAGTGAATGAAAGATAACACGAAAGTGAGTGTTCTATTCCACGATTTCGAAGAGATATTTAGATGAACAAAATGATCTTCACCTTCAACTATCACTTCAGTACAGTTATCACCAGCAAATTTTGCTTGTTCAGCTAAAGTTATTGTTTGACTAATAGGGACAGTGATGTCTGCTGATCCAGTTATAACTTGCATTGGTACTTCTAGTGGTAGAAATTGGCTAGGATATTGTACTCTAAATGAATAAAATCAATGTTGAATTAATAAAAGTTATTTTCGTTCTAAGTAACTTAATAGAAAATTGTTTCTTGATACTCTGGAAAAGCAATCAGGATTATTGTCATAAGTCTCATTCTCTTTTAATAATCGTTGAAAACATGTGTATAAAAGTATTTTTCAGAATATATCAGATGTGAAAAAATTTCTACTCTACCAAAAAGATTTGAAAAAATGACTTCTTCATTCTCTTTCTAGGAAACAAGTCCATATAATTATATATGTTTAGGAAACAATATGATACTTGAAACTCGTTTTTACTAGAATTTGAATTTAATAAGAAAACAGAAAAATCTACACGAACTTGATTGAAAGATTGCTTGAAGCTGCCAAAGACGAGAACACATATCGTTCTGGATACATCTGATACTTTCCACCGAGAAATGAAATCACTGCGCCAGAACCTGTTTCTTCAGCATGATCACAGCCATCCCAAAGATTATTGACACCGGCCTGACTAACAAAAGCTATAGGACGAACAGGATTTGTGCTATAACCAGGTTGATTTGACTTTAGTCTGAAGCGCCCTGTAATATAGCCTCCTAATTGTCCTCCAGCTGAATGACCGACAACAATTATTCGATCACTGTTGAAACCATGTTCTTCAGCAATCGTCCGTATAAGATCGGTGCCATTGGCCACGTCATAGAAAGTGTTCGGATAACCACCATCGTTGCCAATAGAACGATAATCCAAATTACAGACAACAGTCTTAAAACGGAGAAGATCGTTGCCAACGGCATCTTCCAGTGAACGATTGTACTTAGCGCTCCAGAAGCCACCGTGTATCAGCAGTACAACAAGAGGAGCATAAGGACCTTTGGGTAAATGACATTCAATGACTTGAATAGGATCCGGCCCATATGTGTAAGCAACGCATTTTTCATCGTTTGGATAAAGACCACCTATACTATAGAAATAAATCTAATGTTTCAAATTGATATTTTTTTTTTCATTGTTTAATTGAGAAATTCAAGTATCATGCATGCCAAAATTATTAGAGTTCCTTTCAATCAGTACCAACGACATATTTCTGCTTTACTATGGTTCAAATTAATTAAGATATTTATCTGTCAAAAAATTCTACCCTTCTTAGACTATAATAAAAGAGTTCCTATGAGAAAACAGATTCGCTGTTTTTCCTATCATATTTTCTTAGTAAAATAAGATTTTTTTCAGATATAGAAGTAAAGTTATACACTAATGAAAAGATTATATTTACTTCCATAGTTTTTCTCACCTTGACAGGAACCATATCTGGTTTTGTTGTTAGTATTCAAAGTAATGTTCTCGTTCCAACTTTTACTTAGAATAAATTTTGGTATTGAATAGATTGTATCATTGTAGGTCATGGTTTTTGAATGTCTTTTTTGAATATTTCTGGCACTTGAGGATACTACAACATAAATAGAGATTTTTCTAAATATATTTCTTTGCTCATTAATCTATGATATATGTAGATGAGTCAATTTCTAACTATTCTTGAGTTGTGTATTTTCATTCAATCATGTCTATTTCTTTCTGTATATCCTTGTATGTACATATGTCCGTTGTTGAATGAAAATATACATTGATATGTTTTCCTATGAAACTGCTTCATCATTTTTATGTCTATCAAATATTTTCTTGTTCTATGTGTGTGATTTGTCGATAACTATTTATTTTTGTGAATTTCTGTCTTAAAAGAACTGTTCATACTTGATAATGAAATATGTTGAAATGAACAAAAGTTCATTTTTACTGGAATTGTTTGTCCATCAACGAACTTTATGGGGATATTGAATGACCTGTATGCAGCTGTGTTGTATAGTTTTATTTTTTTGAACAAATGTTTTTGATGTGTCCCTATATTATAATTTAATGGATATACAGCCGAAACATGGGCAATAAAGAGATCACCCATTGGATTAGTTTCTTCATTTCTACATAGATTCACACTGTAAGAAAATTTTTAAAAAATTGCAAAAATGATAAAGAAAACTTTTGTTTTGTACTATTTTATTATTTCACGCTTCTTAACATTTTGATTTATAGACATCGGTACGAATTGAGCCATATTAATATTGACATTGACCAACCCAAAGTTATTATTGACCTATAGAAGAAGAGAAGCAATAAGTAATTGTAGAATATAACATACACGCACAATGTTAGCGAGCGAATCCAGATCAATCATCGCTGGTAAGTTGACATCACTCACATTGGTTCGATAAATAATAGTGAAAAATATTGTCTCTTTTCTTGAGAAACTTGAAAATATCAACACAAGTAGAATACAAGCAAACATGACAACCAACGCAAACAAACAGCACAACATATTTCTGTATATCTTCAGGCGATGATATTTTGAATTCCTTAAAAAATAAAAGATTTCTGATCTGCAAATTTTCATGTTGATCTTCGCTTTAAAGGCAACAAAGATGATCAGAGAAAAACACTTACCAGGTTGATATTGATATTGATGTTGACGGCGTATCAACGATGATATCTTTAACCTTATCCTGCATTCACGGCGTACCCTTTCAATTACAAAATGCTTTTAAGTAAAAAAGATACTTGATCGAATGTCATCGTCTCTTATGATAAGAATAGTTAGAGAAAGAGAGAGAGAGAGAAAAAGTATAGCGCAAATATACTCCTGCTGTTGTTAGTCACATAGTTATTTCAATACTGCTATAAGACTCGAATGAAATAATTATTATTTATAAGATTTACTTTAAACTGTAGAAAGATATATAAAAAAATCCGGCTGAAAATTCAAACCATTTGACTTCACATCAAAAATAATATATTACAGTTATGAGCATTAAACAATCAACTTGATTGTTCGAGAATTAGCCTTCTTCTGAGATTGAATCATTAAACAGTCATCGTTGTTAGCATTCATCTATCTAATCATTTCAAAAAAATTTTAATTAAGAGATACTTCATAACTTTCTCAAAGAAGTGTTCACCTATACTATATGTGTGGTCTTTTTTTACATATTATATGTAATGTTGATTCATACCTATTTGCAATTGTTCAGATCTCTACAGTAGACGCTAATACGATAGGCTATAACAATTTAGATCATTACCTTGGATTTCAGTGTTTGATAGCGGATAATTTCGATTCAAGTTTTATCGCATTATTAGGAATTTAGATTTAATAAATATCTAATCCGATGATTTGGGCTGAAATATGTTTTTGGAAGTATTAAAACAATCGAAGAGATGGCTAACATAAAATACTATGATCTGATTATTCCAAAACGTTTCAGTGTGAATTTGACTATTCTTATATATAATCAATAGTTTTCTAAACATGAATGTGATGATTTGAATTTCGGATATTTTTTTTTTCTAATGTATGCTAATCTGTTTTAGCTAATCATTGAATACTTTTTTTGGTAGAATTTACATACATACTACTACTGTTTATTTACTGAAAATAAAAAGTTGAATTTCTACTTTTATCGCCATTTACGATCGAATACTTATTAATGAGCGAAAACTCTCATGTATTCTAAGCAAGGAATAATCTAATATATTACATAAATAACCGTATTACGGATGAAATTTTTAAATAGTCAAACGTTGACATTAAAATAATAGGAACAGAGAAAAAAAAGCTATTATTTTCTTCGTTGAAAATAAACAAAATTTCTTTATTCCTGAAGAGAAAAACAGTTGTTTTCGGAAGAAAGAGAAGTTGAAATTATTTTTGCTCTGTATCTGGTACCCTGTTTGAGAAAAACGTTTGCTTGCTTACTCGAAGAATCGTTCTTTTCTTTTCTTCATGATGATTTTGATTTGGTTGTTGTAGATGAAGGCATTTTACAAATATTATTGAATAGGTAGAAACCATCATACATCATGTGAGCTGCTTTTAGACTTTTTCTTACAATGAATTGATATTTTGAACATTTCAACGCATTATAGGCAGGCGTGGCTCGTTCAATTGTATTATAAGTACTTGAAAAAGAGTATTTGTTATCTTTTTGAATGAATCCAATTTTATAGGTTCACTGCATATCAAGCTGGTCTCACTAAACATTTGCTTCTGACTGATAATAATGGAGTTCCTGCTTCGTTTAGTTATACCGAGAAAGGCTCAAGAAATCGAGAGAAACCGAGTATTGTATTTGTTCATGGACTTTCGTCAAATAAAGAAACATGGATACCGATTGTCAAAGTTAGTCGACACGAAATTATATTAATATCTGACTATATTATTTATTGCGTGTACAGAATATTCCATCAGATTATCATTGTATCACTGTTGATTTACCGGGTCACGGAGAAACCGTGGGTTTCAATGAAGACAGATATTCGATTGATACATTTGTGGAGAAACTCAAATTGGTAAAGTTCATGATTAATTCCTATTTGAAATCAATATTTTCCTCGTCCCACATGTGATTTTGCCATTAGTTCTTTGATTTGATGGATTTGACCGAACCACTTTGTATCATCGGTGCATCAATGGGCGGTGCGATTGTATGCATGTTTGCTATTAAATATCCGGAATACGTAAGCATGATTTGCTTGCTAGCACCAATAGGTAAAATTTTGAGTATGAATGATCTTTACTGTGTTGATGTATTCAATTATTTAAATAGCAAATGAGGCATCTGAAACTGATTTGATCCGACAATTACGCAATGGTGAATATAATGCTCTTTTGCCGGAGACACCAGGAGAACTTCGTCAAATGATCAATACATTGACAGTTAGAACACCGAAGTTGCCGAAGCCATTTCTCAATGGATTTCTGCACTTGCGATTGCGTTTGTTGGATGAGCATAAGAAAAGTATGATACCAATAATATTCTTCGAGATTAAATACGTTAGATTTTAGTACTTACTTCACTTATCGGATATGACTATTCACATATCGAGCAACATTATCAACAGTTACGACAGCTTAATCGTCCAGCGTTAATCTTGTGGGGTCGTCAAGATAAAGTATCAATTGATGAGATAGGTTGTTTTAAACACGAATCTTCTTTTGCATCTAGGTGTATGCTGCCAGTGGCGCTGAATTTTTTTGTAACTTACTACCAAATACGGAATGCATTATTTTCGATGAGTGTGGCCACTTCATGGCAATCGATAAACCGGAAGAGACAGCTAGAAGTATCTTAGCATTTTTCGATAGTTATGCCAATTATCAGGTAAAACTATTGTCTATAACAGATATCAGAGTAATGGATTGAACGATTATTAACTTGTTGATTCGTATGTTCGATGATGTCTTTGTCATAGTTTTTGAATAAAGTATATGAAAAAGAAATGTATGGAAGTGTTTCATTCTTCTGTAGATGTTTACTATCTTCAGTATTCTTTTCTTTACAAATTAAATAAATTTCTCTTCCTATTTCGGGTGGATCTATACAATTTTAAGCTCTTTTTATTGAACTATAATCTAATAAAAATAATCCAGATAATTATTAATTGATATATGAAACCTATTTAATGAAAAACCGAAGCAAAGTCGGTGGTTGACCGTAGTTTTCCTTTGGCTGCCATTACTTGGGAATATAGATTTAAAGTTCTCTCTCTTTCATTTGAATTAGTTCATTTTCACCAAGATTCTTTTTCCATTGACTACCTTCTTGACTAATTCCACTATATTGTTGGATGCAATTCGTAACCGAAAACTATTCTGGATCAAAAATATGGTCTATTCTAGATAGACAATTTTATTCGAGCTCATTTGTTTATTAGCAAATCGATTGATCAACATCTTAACTGGTAATCATCTCCAAGTCATTCGTTTATAAATAACTATTATGTGTTTTAATTAATATTTAAAATAAATCGAATGAAGTTATTTCAAGAAAAATTTAATCGAGAAATTCATGTCAAAATAGACAAATATCATTAAACATTTCTTAATATTCATGAATGAAGTGAAACTCGATAAAATGCCATAATTTCAAGGAATATTTTATTAATTTCATCATTAACACCGTGAAAAATTCTTGAAGTTTATTGTTTAACAGATGAAGCATTGAAGTGACTTTTTTTAAGAAATGAAAGAATTGAAATAGGTATTTGAACAAAACAAGTTTCAGAAAGCAAAATCGTTAAGTTATTAGCTACAGAATTAGTGGGTGAACGAGCAACACAAGTGACATTGAATAGATTAAAGTCGCTCAAAAACTTTAAAATGTTAACATTAACTGTTTATTTAACTAGTCAAGCAAAACAAACCACACTAAACAATGTAAATCAGTTTTTTGTCATTTTAAATATGGTATACATCAATGAAGTTATTTGTTATGATTCAGATTTGCCTGAAACAGTCATTAGTGAAAATCAAGAATGGGTTAATGCATATTATTAAATGTTTAATCAAGATATAACTAATATTTCACAATAGTTAGAAGAGAATTCCATCGATAGGAAATGTATATGACTCATAAAAACATTTGACAAGGTTTTGGTGATCTATCTGTAAAAGCCCTTTCTTGTTCTCCAAGTACAACATAATCATATAATGCGATTATTCATCATGAGCAGCTATGTTTGTTTGTCTAAAACGTTATAATATAAGGGGGGAAAAATTTATAAAACAAGATTTAAAAAAAAAGGAATTTCTCGTAATACATCTGAATAGCACAACATATTTTGAATAGATGATATACTAAATATAATCTATAATATGTAGAATATTTATAAAATATATTTACTCGTTTCTGTCTTATCGCCATGTGGCGTCATCTTAGATTGTTATTACGATAATAGGAATTAAGATCGACCATTCATGGTACTTCCGTTGAATAAAAAAATTCATTGACAAGCAAAGTTTCCGTTAAAGCTGTATTCTGTTGTGCCGAAAATGCTCTCGAATATTTATCGTCAACATACAGAGCATACTTCAGTTTTGAAACAAAAGCAAGGTAACATTCAAATCATACATAATTTTTTTTATATAAATGTTTTTGTTGTTTAGAAAAGAAAAAAAAAGAATTACTATCATCAGCCGAACAATTAACTCGTCTTGTACTAGATGGACTTAACGATGAGTAATGTTTTATTCAATCGACTTCATTTCTATTGAAATCTTTCGTATTATTTTAAGTGTTTCTGAATGTTATAAAAATCAAAAAAGGATTGATCACGCATGTAAACAATTGACAACACAAACAAATTTACTTTTAAAACAATCCCAAGCATGGATTACACTGATTGGACAATTTACTGATGCATTGAAAGTCTGTAATTTTGTTTTACTATAATTTAATTAAAATGAATATTTTTTCGTGAGCGTAGGTATTAGGTGATGTTGAAAATTATTCAAAAATTATTGAACGTGATTGTCTTACTATTACCAATACATTAGCTAACGTTCATCAAGATATGACTAAAAGTAAAGGAATCTATTTTAGTTTTTTTTCTAATTACAATATATAATTCTCTATTGAATTAGGTCGACAAATAGTTGATGATGAACCTCAAGATGCTTCAAATTCCTCTAAATGATTTCTTATATTTATTTATTTTTTCTTGTTTGATTTTTTTAAAAGTTTCGATCGAAAATAAAATAGAAAACAAAGTATGTGTAATTGAATAAATTCTAGAAAGATTAATTCTACTGTAATTTTAGATGGAAATCAGTGCCAATACTCATCCCTATAGACGACAACATGGTGAAATACGCCTACTCGAAAAACAGATACGTCCAGAAATATTTGAACGATGTCTACAATTTATTGATATAGTTATTAATCAAATAATTTATCAGGAAAATATTTATCCTTCAAGTTTGTTAGAACTTCTTTCGAATTCAAAAAACAAATATATTTTTTTCATTTTGTTAGAATTATTTATTCCTCGTCAAATGTATCGTTCACTTGTCTACCAATGTGTTGATAGAGATATATCATCCTATATAACATTATGTGTAGCATCGTTAAGAGATTTACTATCTCAACAACTGGCAGATATGATTGCAATTAATATTATTCGAAATTTTCAAAATCCAATTATTCTTCGAAGATATTTAATTGAATTGCACACAATTCATGATCCATGTTTACGTGCTATTTATGATAATACCAAACAATTAATTAGTCAACTTGACCAATCGTTTTCTGAATGTATTCAAACAATTAAACAAATTAAACCACTAGATAATCATAATTATAATAAACAATGGACATTTCAATTAAGGTAATGCCAATGAATTCCTATTATTTCTATTATATCTTCAATTTTTTAAGATCGTCTCCTGACAGAACAAACAATAAAGGGATTTCTATTCAAGAAATTCTACGTACAAAACCAATATATAAAGAATTCCTATTAATAAATCAACAATCACATTTATTATCGAATAGTAAACAATCGATTATATCATCGATTAAATCATTGCATACTGAAAGACTTAAATTACAATTTATGTGTGAAGATGATAAATATGAACAAGAAAAATGTCAACAATGGAATCAGCATCTATTAAATAATAAATTACCTGATCAACGAGATATTGATTATGCAACTGACTCAGATATTAATGAATATCAGGTATATCTCATTATTTCTATCCAATCAACTTTATGTGTTCCTATATCTATGGCAAACAGTTGTATCGAAACTATTTATCTAACATTCACATAATAATTCATACATATATAATCATAGTTTCAAATATTCAATCACATAAAAAACGACTGACAGTTTTTCTCGTATATTTCATTTGTAAAGCAAATATAAACGATTATCTTTCTTCCTTTATTTTCCTACATATATATTGTACTTAGGTGATATCGAGTTCTTTATCTATATGTAAGTACTGGAAATGAGATGAATTGAAGAAAATGACGAAACTAATTAATCAACTTTCTATTGATATTTGTAGAAGCAAAACATACTGATCATTTTCCATTTCAATTGTAGTATTCAATTTACTCAGAATATTTTTCTTCTTCTAAGCGATCAACTTAAATGCAATGAGCAGTTTTCTCGACAAGAAAGCTCGATCAGTAGTTTGATTTGCTTATTTCATGCCAATAACTTTCATCAGTTTGAGATGATTGGTGAATTTCGTAATATTGATAGAATATTTTGTATGCACTGAAGATTAATGAATAGTGAAACTGATGTTCGAATAGTTTTTCAAGTGGTGATAGTTAAAATACTAGGAAATTCAACTTCTCGAGAACAAAACTTGAATGAGAATACTGCCTTTACATATAATCATTCAAGAATGAAATCTATCGGAAGCAAGCCAACCAGTTTGCTTATAATCAATTTATTAATTGTATTTGTATTAAGTTATGAACATTTAAAAGGTTTTGATTATTACTAGTAATAAAATGAAGTTCAATTATTAAAATGCGCTATTTGTGACTAATATAAAATTCTTTTTTTTAGGGAAATTTCAAAGAAATAGACCATTATTCTCGTGTTAGTAACAAACGAAACGAATCTGAACTTTGGCCCTTAACAACAACGAACAATCCTCCAATCTGTGCAATGGAGGAGGAAAATATGAATTCAAATGATATCGAAAGAAAATCAAACGATAGAAGACAATCGAAAAAGAATAAAATAACAACAATTGATGTTGATCTATTAGTTAACCGTTATCATTTATCACATGATAACAATAGGGAAGATTTTGACGCATTGCCATATTCGTCTGAAGATGAAGACCAATATCAATTGTCTTATTCTCCTGAAACTGTGCGGCGAGACAAGGGAGAAGACGACGACGACGAAGAAGATTTTTAACTGAGTGTTGTATATAAAATGCACAATTTAATTGATAAACAATTCTTTTTACTAATAAAAGAAAACAGTAATTAGCTAATGTTGCTCATTGTATATGAATTCACAGTAAGAGTTCAATCAGTACTTAGATGATGTTAACTTTAAATAAAATAATCATAATTGATTGCAGTAAATGAAAATGTTTATGGTTAGGGCAGGAAAGAGAGCATTCCAACATGAAATGTGATGGGAGAACTTTTAAGCAAACGTTTAGAAAACCAGTATTAGGATATGTATTGATTTGCTGAACTTTAGTCAAAATTTAGCATGAGATGCCTAATTCTAATATAAATACAGCTTCGAATACTGTATTTCAATTCGAAAATAAAAAGAACGACTCTTTCATTTATAATTATTGCAAAAGGAAAAGATAAACGTTTCCTTTCTATATAATTCAATTTCCAATTGTCAACATTTGCCGGTGAGGGTATGAAGAAGGGACTACTGAAGCGCTGGTGTGGGGGCATCTCTGAACTGTCGTCCTAATTCGAAATCGCATTATGCAAGAAGGAAAACGTTTTTGTTTGGCATTTTCCTAAGTAAACATGAAAGCGGTTTTTTTCACTGTTTGTTTTTGTATTCGAAGTCGAATTAGACATCTACTCAGTCTGATAGTGATTTGTTCTGAACAGTTCTCTGAGAAATTTGACCCAAAAAGAGGTCTGCTACATTGGAATTGCGATAAAATTTCGAGCCTTTTGACATATTATGAGTTTAAAATACTAATTGTCCGATATCTTGTTGAACGTGCATTGTTCACTTTCAAATCTGCTATTGAAAGCATTAGTCGTTAGTGCAAGACGCTAAACGGTTGACGTGTGTGTTTTGATTAATATCACATGACCCAAAGAACATCCCCAAATCACTAGATGGCGCTAAGTGACGAATCAAGTTACACGCTATCGCCGCTTATTAATTTCTATTGGGTCTGATCAAGGGGTAAAACGAGATACAATACAATCACTAAAATTCCCAGTGTCATAATGACACTTGTGGTTACCGTTTAATGGAAACACAGACACTATCATTATGTCCAACAGCAGCTGTAGACACATAGCGAAAACAAACTATACCGAGTATTTGCCATTTGAGTGTTATACACTGCTTTACATTTTGATTCGAGAACTCAAAACACTGGATATGCATAGTTATCCTCTGTATTTAGAATGATGATTTATTTTTTGTAAGTTCACATATTTCTTTATCTGTTTACATATTTTTTAGATAAGAAATAGTGCTGATACTTATCTGGAACTTTGGTTTACTTTTAATCCGTTTTATACTTTATTTTCGATTCATTGTTCAATAAAACTTTTCGTTTTGATCGAGTCGTTTTGGTTGTGTCAGTAAAGAAATTACTGTCTCAGAAACCATTAGGTTTCGGTCAATATATTTTTGTATTTCAAGAAAATTTTCGTTAGTGGCAGGTAATTTGGAACAGATTTTTAAAAGAATTATGACTACAGGAGAAATATTTAGTCTCCATTAGGTGATATTGGTTACATTTAGGAATTAATACAAAGAATGAATTACATAAAAATTAACGACAAATTAAAAAAACATATCGCACATTTAGTTGTTCAAAATGATAATATCATCCCGGCCAGTTATTTTAATTCAGCCTTTCCAGGCGCTATCGGTCTTATGTTTACTGATGAAAGTTTGAACGGAGTCGTTATGTAAGTTATTTAGAGTAATTAGAGCATTCTAAATAAAATTTTCGATCTTTTAGAATTCCAAAAGACAATATAGGTAATTTTCAATGGACATGGAATTATGAAATAGTTTATGAATTAATTTACGCCGATCGTAAAACATTTAAAGACAGCATTTTTCAATATTACATTAACTCTACTTTTTAGCTGCTCTTAATCTCACTTCATCAACAGAGTCGAAGAAGAAAACCTTATTCAATTGGCTAGGATCAGCCGGAAGTAAGCCAATTGATCTGTCGAAAGTGACTTAATTTGACGTTTACCATACTTGTTAAAATGCTTGAATTTCTAAAATGATACGACAGGTTATATAAGTTGTTGCGGAAACCCTAAACATCTAGAAAATCCAATTTCACAAGTATAGGACATACAGAAAATGAACGAGGAGTGTTCCGACGTTAGCGTTGAATGTTGTCAAGGTTGTATGGATGTTTGGACCTAAGTATAAACATAAGTTTGAGCATAAACTTGTTGGAGATATTGAGAGCATAGGAAGGTTTAGAGGTATTGGAGACATCGAATGTATTGATATTGGGGGAAAAGCATATGAACTAATGAACTCTGAGAGTGTTCAGTGCATGCATTCATTGTATTATTCATCAATAGATTCTAATCAAATACTTTTTCTAATCATTCTTCATTACTGAATTCGATATGGATTCATAATTCCTGACTAAAGATAGTGCTAATAGAAATATATTGATTTCTCAACTGTTGAAATCAATTCTTTCTGTTTCGTGTGGAAGAAAATATTTTTTAATAAATTTTGATTGATAAAAACGACTTAGCAAAGTTTATGTCAATAGACAAGAGTTTATGTATGATATTTTTTAGTTATCAATTGGTTTAAATCTTCAGAATCAAATGACGGAAAAAAGAAACAATGATCAAACATTTGCATTGTAAGAACTGGATGCTTTATATCACTCTTGACTACTTTTCTTTCATAACTTTTTCGATGTCGCACGAAACTTTCATATATGCTTATTTGTTGCTTATGTGCATTTTGGTTGTGTGTGAAGCTTATTAGAGCCCAATAATTACTATATTAGATTAGTCACTTTGTAGGTCGTGCGACATTTAACAACCTATCGCAAACAGCAACTTTTTTATTAACATTTTTAAGTATTTTTAGGTTTACTTATATTATGGTTCGGCAGTATGATACCGTCACTTTGGTGTAATATTTACGAAGAATTAGTCAAGGTGTTATTTTATGATTTGCCAACCAATTCATCAAATACATTAGACTTAAAATTAAGAATTGTTATTCTATCAATTATCTCATGCATATACATGGTATTGATGATCATTTTCACACCGCTTTTCCTTAAAATGCTGTTCAACAAACTAAAAGCATGGATTCAAGAAATAAACATTGAAAAACTCACGTACAATGCTTTGGCACCTGTTCCATTTGTGAATAGATAACATTTTACTCATGATCATGAAAAATAAAGATTTAATAGATTTTTTCATTATTCCATAATTATTATAATTATTCGTTCAACTATTATCTAAAAACTTATGAAAACCTTTAAATTGATCAAACAACGTTCATTTTGTCGTTTTGTGCTTGTGAGTCTCATTCGTTGCAGCAGTGTGTGTATCATGGGCTTCATCAGCTGTTACATAGTACCAACTTCATATCTAGAAAAAAAAACATCAGGATTCACTAGAAAGTGCGAAATAGAAATGTATGCTTGGAAAAAAATCTAGATCATAGGAACAAGAAACAACACGAGAAAAACAAATAAATTTCAGTCAGAACACCTTCGAAAGAAAATACATTTCGAATAAATGTATATCATGAAGCTGCCATAGGTGAGTTCTAACAAGCGTGACAAGAAACAAAAGCTTCATTAGCTTATTTTATATAAGTACATTGAACTTTTATTTCCGACTGTTTGAAAATAATAATTTCTACTCATCAATTGATTTTTTACTGTAATTTTAATCTATTAACTTAGCAAAAAAACATTTTACTTAGCGGTTACTTATTAAATTTAGGAAAACACGATTTATGCTATGGAAACTATTACTACATGTTAAACATTTTGATCAATTTAGTATTCAAATTTTTATCGAGTACATTAGTAGCTTATGTAACAGAGGTGCGAGGGTGGGTGTGACGTTATATTTTGTATTTGGCAACACATCGATGGTGGATTGTCAAATTTATGAAGTCGAAGCATCGTACAGTAGAAGTAGTAGTAGCTACAAGCGCAATAAACATTCCTTCATATTTCAAGTAGACATTTGTAAACAGTCAAATTCTTTTCGATTTGATATAAGTGCATAAGAAAAATAAATTTTTCTACAAATACAATAATTATTTTCATTCTGAATCTTTGGAAAAAACATTTTCAACAGGTGAATTCGACATCTATCTTGTGAATAACTATTGGCATCTTTGACAATGCTACCTGTGTAATTTTTATCTATTTCATTTATGAGAAAAACAAAGGAGGGAGGCGGATAAGGCCATTTTCTCGCCCCCAATATTTTTGTATAAAAGTCGTATATTTGGAATCAGCATCAAATTCTGACCAAGATGAGGTATTTTTATTTTCTGGAAAATGACTTTTTTTTTTGGAATTTTTTTGCCCCTAGGACCCCTCAAGAATGTTGAAAATTGTTTTTTCGACAAATTCTTGTGAAAACTACATCATTCGATTCAGAATTTTATGCTGATTCCGAATATGGAGTTACAATTCATAAAATGTTAATTTCCATAGGAGAAATATTGAATTTATATGTAGGTGGCGCTAGCTATNTTTTAATTCTTAGACCTTAGGTAGTTTTGTGTGTAGCTGAGTTGGTTTTTTGATTCCCAAAACCTCACATTTAATACTGGAACGACTTCAACTCAATAAGGTAGCTAGCGCCACCTACATATAAATTCAATATTTCTCCTATGGAAATTCACATTTTATGAATTGTAACTCCATATTCGGAATCAGCATAAAATTCTGAATCGAATGATGTAGTTTTCACAAGAATTTGTCGAAAAAACAATTTTCAACATTCTTGAGGGGTCCTAGGGGCAAAAAAATTCCAAAAAAAAAAAGTCATTTTCCAGAAAATAAAAATACCTCATCTTGGTCAGAATTTGATGCTGATTCCAAATATACGACTTTTATACAAAAATATTGGGGGCGAGAAAATGGCCTTATCCGCTTCCCTCCTTTCATAAAATCACTGTGATCAGTAATCCAAATAATAGTTTATGAGTTTTATTATTGTAATTATTTTCATTCTTATACTATAAATCGCACTGACGAATCATTTATGTCAATCTGTTATTGATAATTGATTTCAGTTGTTAAATTATTATCATACGAGAAATGTATTGTTCAATCATCGTAATAAAGTGTGGAAGAAAAATTTTCTATTATAATCATTAAAATACCGTCTGTTAAAATTTTAAAATTGTTTTAGATATGTCGAACTTTTATGATAAGTTGTGTCCATTTTATCATTTGATTTTTGAAGATTGGGATGCATCTATTGAAAAGCAAGGTTCACAGCTAAGTGCCATCATAGAATCGAATTGGTCTCAACGTCAGACTGTATTAGATGTATCTTGTGGAATAGGCACGCAAGCTATAGGCTTATGTAAAAAGGGTTATCGCGTCACTGCATCTGATCTTTCTGTCAACGAAATTGAACGCGCTAAACAAGAAGCTCCAAAACGTGGACAGACAAATATTTTGTATTCTGTTTGTGATATGAGAACAGCCTTCCGACATCATGGTGGGAACTTTGACATAGTTATTTCATGTGATAATTCGATTCCACATCTTCTTACCGATGATGATATTCTATCTGCACTTCAACAAATGTATTTTTGTTTAAAACCAGGCGGTGGTTGTTTGATTACAATTCGGGATTATGATCGAGAACAACATTGTGGTAAAAATATTGTTAAACCCTATGGCAAAGCAAAGATAGAAAATGGTAAACGATATGTTGCTTTACAAGTATGGGATTTCGATGAACCAAATTTTCAGCATTATGATTTCACTCTATATATGATTGAAGAAGATCTCAATTGTAAAGAAGTTGTTACACATGCAATGCATTCACGCTACTATGCAATTGGTTCTGAAAAGCTCATCAGATTAATGCAAAATGCTGGATTTGAAAATGTTATTCGACTCGATGAAAGCTTTTATCAGCCAGTATTTATCGGCACTCGACCGTTAACGTAGCATTTAATTGTATTTCAATCTGATAGTTTCAATTTCGAGAATTGATAAACAGATAGGTTATTATTTTAAAAAAACATTTTTATGAAAGAAATAACAAAATCTTTTAATATAAATTAATATAAATGATTATTCGACAATAAAATAAGTTATATTTAAGTAAATAATAACGTTTAGCATGATATAGTTGATATTTTTATATCTGTATATAAGAACAGAAAAGATAGAGATAGATATGTTGTTATCATCCATGTTTATATATAGTTTCTTCTTTACATGACTTGCATTGGTAATCATTACGTTTGAAAATAAAAGTTAAGTATGAATCGTTTATTTACTGGTTCTTTTACAAATGTAATAAAACGGATTCCAGCTCTTTATTTTAATAAACAAAAATCATTCGTACGAAAATCAACAACTGCAAGTAGTATCAGTTCAAATATTGATTCAGTCAAAGACTTATCTCGACCATTACCTCCATACCTTTATAATGATCCATCTGTTTATCAATTAGAACGTGAAAATATTTTTGCGAAAAATTGGATGTATATTGGTCGACTTGACAGATTAAAAAAATTAGGTGATTATTTATCCATAACTCTTGCTGGATATCCTATATTTATTTATCGTAGTCCTTTAACAAATGAATTAGTTGCTTTTCATAATGTTTGTTCACATCGAGCTGGTCCGATTGTACCTATAAATTCAAATAATTATGGTACTGCTCTTTATGGAAATCAATCTTTATTGAAATGTCAATATCATGCGTGGCTATTTGATTCTCGTGATGGTGCATTGAAAGCTACACCAAATTTTAGTTACAAATTTAAATCAGATGAGAAAAAATGTTTAAGTCTGAAAAAAATTAATATTGAAATTTTTGCTGAACAATTTATTTTTGTTAATCTAATCGAGATGAAAGAGAAATCATCTATTTATACGCTTTTTTCTGATTTATTAAATGATATTTTGGCATTTCCTCTTAATGAATATCGTCATTTCGAAAGTCAATGTCATTTAATTAATTGCAATTGGAAAACCTACGCAGAAAATTACCAAGAAGGATATCATATTCAAAGTATACATCCATTACTTAATAAAACTATTCAATCAAAACAATATTTAGTTACTAACAAGAATAATATATATTCAGTTCATTATGCTCCTTCACGTAATCATGAAAGTGGTCAAGAGAAATTTCTCTGGGTTTTTATTTATCCTAATTTAGCCATTAATTTATATGAACAAGGCTATAGTATTGAACATATTCTTCCGATAGGTAAAGATCGAACTATATTATCTTATGACTTTTTTGTACGTTCAACTGACGATGAATCTCAAATGAGCGATCGAATGGCTGAAGCGAAAGAAGCTATGATTAGAACATTGGAAGTAACTAATGAGGATAAAATGATTTGTGAGCAAGTTCAAAATAATCTTGATGCGGGAATATATAAACCAGGGTATTTATCACCTTCAATGGAAAATGGTGTACAATTTTTTCAAAATAGAATTAGAAATGAATTAAAACATACAAATTTACAATTGGAATAAAAAATAGACTTGAATTGAACTAAATACATATTTACGTTTCCTTGTTCTGAAAGATTTACAATAATAAAACAAAAGAATAATTGAAAATATTTATTTTTATTGCAGTTCTATATTTAATTGGACGATGATTATTCAATAAACTCTTCAAAAATAATCCAACATTTGTATGATGATTCAGTACAAGATAAACATTTTCAGATAATCACGAGAGTTTTCGAAGTCGTTCTCGTTCGTATTTGAAACGACTATCAATATTGCACTTAACCAAGACAAATCACTTCAAACAATGTATAATTAGAGAAAATATTTAAATCAATGATCAACTAAACTTTGGTAGCATCAAACTGTTAGTAGACTATTTTTGAAAAAATGATAGAAGAGAACACTTGGTAAATTGTAAAAATTGTGGATGGTGAAATGTTTTCGATTGCTAAATTTACATCTTGGAATTCGAATGCATTGTTTTTAATAATGAAACTGAAATTTCTGGGAGATAGTTGAAGACCATACGTTCTGTTTTGGTGATACATTATTTCGCTAATATTATATGCTAAATATAAAGACTTCAATTTTCGTTTAGTTTCTTTAAAACTGCATGGTTTATTGAGCAAATTATTTTTTCGGATAAAAATGTTTTATTTTTATCAAATTCAACACCAATGTATTGAAGACATAATTGAAAAATATCTATAAAAAAATCTTCACAAAAATTGAATCGTTGAATTTCAAGTACTCGGCTTTAACTTTTGTCGCGTTTTATTCATTGATATGGATGTTTACCAATAGAAGTTATCATGGAACTATTTTATTATAATAGATTTGATTCATTTTTCAGTACTGAACAATGAAGAAATAACTGATAATGCTTTTATCCAGTCTAAAGGTATGTATAGTTTGCTTCTATTATAATCAAAGCTTCTTCAAAAAGAAAAAATACGAATTTAAATAGATAATAGGCCATGATTCGTTGCAAGTGTTAGCTTTAGCTAAAGAATCGTTTTATTGTTAACAGAAAAACAGAGACACGATCAAGAGAGCAGAATCAAAAGTATCAAATAAACCCTAAGTACTTCTCACATAAATATGACAGTTTTATTGGAGTTCTATGTTCATATTCGTAAAATAAAATAGAGTCTATCAAGATCGATATTTCATTTTGAAATTCGTAAGATTGCTATTATTAGATAAAAATACGATGTGTTCATCCTAACATAAAATTTAATCTAAAATTGATTACTATCAAAACACAATGGTAACATATACATAGATATATATTTTTAATGAACATTATCAAACAGAAAAAAAAATTATGTAAAAAGAAAAAAGAGAAGCTATTAAAATTGCTTTCCGACAAGAATTATATGATCATTCTGTTCAATATTTGGTAGGTCAACAAAGCCAAGTCTTAGATAAAATTGATGTAGTAAAGGATATCGTTCATCCAATAAAGCATGACATCCATGAAAACCTAAATAGGAATATTGGGAAAAAATAGAAATATTTTATTTTATTTTATTTTATTCTAATAATAGAAACCTCGTTTAATTAGATTATTGATAATCATATTCATTAATTTATTTCCAATAAAATATGCATTAGCAGTTTTGATTGTTAAATCAATAAATAATTGTATACGAACAGCATATCGATCATAAATCCATTGATGACATTCATTAACTTCAAAGAAATTCTAGATTAACATAAATTGTATAGAAAATGATGAAAAACAAAATTGTTTTTTTCCTACTTGATCAACATTCGGATATTTCTGATGGAGTTGTGTAATCCATGTTGCTTGAATAATTTTATCGTATTTTTCACTTTCAATTATTGTCAATACAAATGCACATAATTCATCTTCGATATTATTTACAGAAAAACATAGATCAAAATTATTCGATGAACTTAATAAATATCCACCGATCAATCTATAAATAAAATGATGTACAATAAATATTTCAATAGTTGATTATCTTCTCTACAGAATCTATCGAAGCAAACGATTTTTCTATGTCATTAAAAATAAATATGGTAAACAAATTTATTTTTATCTCGAACAAGAAATGTTCTTATGGCAGATGTAATAAAAATGAAGTTAATATAAATATTGAAATTATTCTCAACGATAGTCTATAGATTTTAAAGATTTTACTACTACATTATAACTATTTCAATGACTGATATCTTTTTCTGTTATATTTCTATAATATGGGACATGAACGACATCAGTTCGTTTTTATATTCATTCTCATTTCTTGCACGAATTGAATAACGATTATTTTGTTTATGTCAACATATTTAAGTCGATCTACAATAAGTCAATTGAATTTTTTAATTTCAAACAACTTGAATTTGATCTATAATGCTCTATATAAATTGTTAACTTATTGTTTCGCATTTAATTTTGATATTCAATTTTCGTTTTTAATAGACATAGATTATTTCATCATAGAAAATGTAATACTAATGAATGCTAAATAGTTTTTCCATAACACAAAATGCATACTTGTCAGCTAAAATTTCTGAATGTTGATCTAGAAGATCATGGATTTCATCTCGATAAGAAACTTGCGTACATAAAGCATATATAACAGCCTAGAGTATAAATCAAAAACTAGCTCTTTTTTTCGAAGTTAATTTAACAAACTTGATCTGCTGAAGACAGTTGTTGAATGAAGAAAACACTTGGTGAAGTATTAACATCTGGTTTAATTATTGACTGAAAATCACCCATCGGAAGAATACTCTAGAAGTAATTGTTTATATTAGAAAGAAAAATAGAGAAAATAATATTCAGAATACGATACCAAAAATTCACCTGCAAGACCACCACGTTTTGATGCTGGTTCAATATCACCAGACAAGAATACTGTTGAATGTTTATGATCAATATCTATAATTACGCAACAAATTAAATATGGGATAGAAAGAGAAAATAGGATTATACTTACCCATCCAGTGCAAATATCTTGAACACAGAGAAATAGTTGAACTAATATCAGACGCATAATTATAGATATCATAGAGTAATGATCGATTATGAATTGTTGTTAACCGTTGAACAAGACGACCAACATGTTTCGCATTATTATGAAATGATGAAGCCCGACAATGCCATTCATTTAACTAGAAACAGACAAATAATTTAGTTTTTTTTCATTCATATACGGTGAATAAAACACAATGGAAATCTACTTTTTCATTTCGAGAATAATTAAATCTAAGCCAATAAAAATCAATAAACATTTGTTGAGCATTAGGCCCATGTTCATAAGGTAAATAAAATAATTCCACAAGTAATCTTATATCTTCTAATGTTAGATCACCACCTGTATTTCCATTCCCATCACATTCCATAATATGCATTTTTGATGATGATGTTGTTGATGTTTGACTTTCACATATCGAGTCTTGTGAATCCTCATCGATGATTAATGATGATACAGTCGGTTTAGGACTCATCGCTTGTGGAGAATTATCAATCTTAATAGCAAAAGAAAAACAAAGAAGATAATCAAATATTTCAATCTAAAAAAGTAAAATCAATGAAAAATACTTTCACAAGTTTTTGAGAATCGTACGCAGATTTAACTTTCTGAAACTCTGGTAACCATTCAATTAATGCTTGGTCTAATGCTTTATTAGGTAGATAAATTTGAGTTATTTGAAGACTGTCTTCGTCGTCATCAATTTGATCTTGACTTTCATTTATTCGTAATGACTGATACCATTGACCAAGAGTATGAAGCGGAATAAAATTTAATTCAAATTCACAATTCGGATTTGATAACATTCCAGATAAACGAGATGATAAATTTGATGAACGACCGGAAAATGGTCCTAAACATAAACGACGTTGATCATAATCGTTTGCATTTAAATTATCCCAAATTGTTACGCGTCGTTGTAAAACAGTGTTCACTGATAATATATGAGAAACAGATATACGTCGAGATATTACTTTTGAACCTAGAAATAAAGATAAAAACTTGAAATAACTTTTATCTTGTCTTTATAATTTTATATTGTATTGACTTGATTATTATATTCTAGAAGTTCATCTCGAAACAGAATCGTTTTATTCAAACGAATGGTGCACCTATAAGAATTTTCAAATGTATCGGTTCAATTTCCAGTAGTCTTGTGATCTATTTTTAGATATCAAAGTTGACTTAACTCATAATATGAAATTGATACATCATTTATCAATGATAATTAATAAATGGAATAAGCAATTGATATGCTGTAACATTTGGTTTATTAATCATTGTTTTATCGATGATAATAAAATTCAAAGACGAAAAATGTCACAAATAAAAACTTGATCGATACAAACACAATCGAATTAAATTAAATAAACGAGTATTACCGGTCCAGAAAATATCAATATCAGGATGAAGACCATTACCAATTGTTTGTAAATAGGAAGATCGTTCAAGAGAAGGTTTCGCCATTTGACTGCAATATTCTAAAGATAAATCAAAATATTAAAGAATTTCGAATATTTAAGATAATTTACGGGTTGGACAAAAGAGTAGAATATTTGGTTTATTAAGATAATCATAGATTTCATTAGTAACAGTAACTTGAGCATGTGCAAATGATAAAAAACGATCTTTATCTTGTTGGCACATTTCACTTTCAATATCATCAAATAACAAAGCCCAATATTCACATCGAAAACTTGATAACTAAATGAAAAAATTATATTTTAAACCTGTTTTTAAGTCATCGTAAATAACATACTTGATCCAATTTTCTTTTTAATGCTTTCAAATCTTTATCCGATGAATAAATTAAATCTAAACCGGGTGATAAAGCATATACAAATTTTATTCCATAACGTTTCGCTATATGAATCAATTGACTCAGTTCAGATGATTCTTCATGTGAATAAAGATCACGCCAACGAGATCGATGTTTTGCGTCATCTTTTGGTGCATAGACATATGTATTTAAACCAAATTTTAAACAACTAAATTTATTTTTCTTTATTACAATAAAGAAAAAGAAGAAGAATATAGAAACGAACTATTCAAAAAGTGTTTTACGTTGATTAAATGACCATGGACGACCATAATAACCTAAAATAAAATAAAATAAAATAAAAAATATATATGCTTTAATTTAATCTACGAAAAATTTATTTTAATAAAGTTTTAATTTTTTCTCAATTATGCTTTCTCAGTCGTACTAAAATAGTCTAAACAAATGTTTCCAGTTTTTGATACTCTCTATGATTAGTCTCATATTCAGAGAGCATCTGTCAACAGAACGAGAACTGTGATATTTCATTTTAACACTATGAAAATAATATTGTAAAGTTACCTTCAATAACTCCACAAAGAAAATCATTGTGCTTCATTTTGTTTCATTAATGAACATCTAGAAAACAAAATGGGATATTCTCCTTCACAGTATTTATCCTTTATTAGATGTTTTCGTTTTAATCATTTGCACGTAAATATAGAAACAAAGAATAATCTGACAATAAGAAAAAACAAAGCCTTATCAATTAATTACTGAAAGTGTTAGATTCGTTTGATAAATATCATTCCAAATCTGAATTAATTCTTTGCCACGATATCCATGAATGCAAATAGGTTTGTTGGTTGAGTTTAAATTAATTGAATTAGTGAAAAAGCTTTTCAATCTTGATAAAATTCCCGTTTGATTAGTTAATAAAATTGATGATGAACCATATGATGAAAATAAATCATTATTTGGAATTAATTTAATTGACATGGAATAAGCTAAAAGTCCCATATAAATATCATCGAAACGAAATAAAGGAGTATATTTTGATGCTATATTAAATAGGCGTGCATTAGATCTTGTCATTAAAAAACACCCAGCTGTTACGTATGGGGGATAATGATCATATGGATAATCATTTATTGATATATACCACCGATCATTTAAAAATCGACGTGGACGTGATCCTTGGTAAACATAACCAGTTAAAAATGTTTGTCTTTCATATGATGTCATATGAGGATCTTCATCAATTTTATTTATATATATTAATAAAGATGTTAAATCAATAAAATAATCATCATCAACAAATAAAACATATTTTCGAAGATCATTATAGGGTAAATCACGAGATTTAGATGAACAGTATTGACTGATCCAACGAAGCATCATTGCCATTTTATCTATAGAAAAAGTTTTTTTCAATATTATTTCTTAACTTTGTACAGAAATAGAAAACATATTTTTCGCTTTTCGAAATATTCATTGCAAAAGAGAAAAGCATTTTCATTTGAGTCCTATTCTGATGTAGACTTAATTATCAAATTTCAATAGACTTTCCATTAAGAGAATTCGATTTAATTTAAAAAATCGTAGGTAAAGGTTGAAACTATTTGATTATCTAATAAAAGTTTGTAAAACTTGCTGCTAATTGAAATATAATATTAATTCATCAATCGAATCTGAAAATTAAAAATATAAGCCCACGGAATGAGAATAAAATCATAAACATGAACATCAATTTTTAACTTAATTATTTATATTTAATGTTTTATTAAATATTTATAATTTATGTGCAGTTTGTAAAAGTAACAACTAGCATATTTAGTTTTGATTATAGCACAAAATGTTTAGCATTTCAGTCTAAATAATAATAAAAAATAGATGATCCTTATTCATAGCTTTGTAGTTGTTTGTTAATTATTAACAGAATAATGTTAAATGTCAATCTGGATTGAAAATCTATCTACTTTCTGACATATTATTTGACGTTTCTCTACCTATTTTTTCTTTAAGAATAATTATCGATTTACACATCGATTAACTGTTTTTCAAAGTTGCTTCTCCTGTTGACTTCAATGTAACTACCGAATGAAATCTACCTTTGAGATTATAAGGTATCTTATATTAAAATGAGACTTACATGAATTATGATAATAAAAATCAACTTTATCAATTTGAATAATATCTTTATAATATTGGGATTCTTTTTCTACGCTGAAATTCTGTTCGTTTGCACCTACAATAGAAAAAAATATTGAATGTGACTGAAATGATAATCGGAGATTTATTTGAGCGAAATCAAAAAGATAATCATGCAAATCAATATATAGACAGATAAACAGATAGATATAGGCATGATCATATCGATGAAACATAGCTTACTTGAAGAAATTGTTTTTGATCTAAGAGTTCCTTTAGATTTAGTAGAGATAAGTTATTTTTTTTTATAGAAAAACTTGAGAGCTTTTTTTTTAATAAAACTTACCTAAAACAAAAGCTAATTTAATGTTATTTTTTTCTAAGAATTCTTTCTTTGCCCATGTCATTCGTATTGCTTGTCTTGCTGTCCAATTCTCAACTGCTGATTTGACTAGGATCAATAGATGTGGATTATTTACTGTTTCTGAATCTCCATTATTACATAAATATTCATTATTAATAATAAACGTATTCGAAACTATATATTTCGGTACGCCTAAAACGTTTTCAGGATTTTCTTCATCGAGTTTTGTTATATCAATATGTGTCATTCGTAAATGATATTCATTCTCGAAGGATCTTTCCGTCCATATATAATATTGCACGCCAAATGTAACATTTAATAGATATAATATAATTAGACATAGAATGCATTTTATAAAAGTTGTACAATGAAAACGATACGAACGAAAAAACCAACGTTGAATTGTTAAACGAGCCATTGATTGTCTTAGGATTATCGATAAATATTGCATTATTAGAATACATGAATTTTTATCTAGAAATAATTAGATCTCTTTGTCTGTCATAGTTCGATTGAAAACGAATCAAAGAGAAAAATGATTCTAACACGACGTAAATTTATTCGTCAACAATCCTATTGACCTTTAGATTTATCTAGAAAAATCAATGATGCTTATTTGTTTCATTTTGCACATTGATGAAGAGAAAGGGATCAATGTTTTCAATTCTTTTTAGACAGACAATTCAAATGTTTTGTACAAGGATTTTAAAATGAAAAATCTATTTACTCTGTACGAAAAAGTTTGCGCAATAAAAAAAAAAGTTGATACACGGATCAGATTACTTTATAGATGTTAAATGAAAGTATTTGATCAAAACTATTGGTAAACTGTAAAGAGATTCTTTTGTCTACAACGAAAAAGAGTACATACGATAGAATATTATGTCATGTAGAAAACAATTAAATAATGCGTTGTACATTTAGAACATAATGATTAATTAAAATAAAAATGATTCATGCACTAGATAAATCTGTCGCTGGTTAAGTTTAATTTAAATTGAAAATAAAATAATTATTTGTGTCATCAGAAGGTAGGTTGGTGATTTCGAATGGTAAATCGTCATCTTCATCAGTGCCCAATGCATTTTCATCACATGACACACTTGTATCCGGAGCCTAGATTCGATCGTGAGTACTGTACAGTTACCTATCTCAAACACTCTAAATCGATTCGAATAAATTTCTTCAGAAAAATCCCTTAATAGCATAAGTTTATTGTTATCATTTTTATTTTAAATTAAAATTGAAAAAATACTGGATTATTATTGAAACTCTTGGCTGTGAAATAAGTTTATCAATAATTTTTAGCTTTTCAATTGTAAGCAGAAAATATGAGGAATCCTTTTTTTTTTGAAGTTGCTGCAAATCTTCTCTCTCTGTAAATCATTTTCAAATTTAACGATCATCATTGGAATTAATAAGCTTAAATTTCAAAACTTACCTAAGCATATTACTTTCGGATAAAATCGACTAGCCTTCTTCTTTGAATGAAAACTTCGAAATGATTTAGATTTTAAGTTTCAGTTTTCATTCATTAATCTATTAATTACGATGCTTTTCAATGGGAAAATTTGTAAAACTGAGTTGATATAATCATTATTATGATCATCTGAAATTGAAAAAAGAACAACAAATTTCTAATTGATTTTTATGATAACGCCATGAAAGAAACAAAGATAATATTAAAGTGCTCAAATTGGATTCCTACTAATGAGTGATCAAATTTATGTATTGATCGTCTTCTACTGTTGATATGTGATCATTGAAAAAGTAATTTGTCAGTCAATGATACGAAAATCAATTTAATCTATCGTTCTAATATTCGATCATAATTCTCATCAACTGTTTCATTAAAAGCAGAAAACCGCTTCGCTTTCTTCATTTATAAACATAAAATCAGTTGACTATTTTGCGAACATAGCTTTTAAAAAAATGAAAAATTCGTAAATAGTTTTGTCAAGTTTGATATAAAGTACTGATTAATGATATTTTTAGACGAAATAAATTAAACCTATGCACAAGATTATCTATTTTAGTATGTTTAATAATAACCACAGTCATATAATGATTAAGAATAGATACTACATGATCAATATTGGTTTCGAAAAAGATATCAAAATTAAATTGCATTATACATTATTATTATATGACATTTAATTCTATATTGGCTCATTGAAGAGAACCAGTCGATGATATTCCAATGTTGTTTCTTGCAACCGATAAATAATAGATGCCGCTAACAATTGCTTATTTTAAATCTTTTAAAGAATCAATATTCCAATGCTAATGAATATAATCAGAAAACAGGGGAGCCCAGGTCAAAACAATCAGTGACCCATATTCTGATTCGAATTATGGGTAACTGGGCTTCCGTTCACTCCTGATAGAATTCTGATAGTTTTAAGACCATCTGACAGAATTCGATGACTAAGCTAATTTCTGGCTATTAGTGCATTAATTGTTTAATTACACCCACACTCTCATGATAGTGTTTTTAGAACTTTAAGCAAAATCCATAGAGTTTCTCTACAAGCACTAGTCATCTTGATTTGATTCAATGCTTTTTCTAAGGGATTACATTACTTCAAGCTTTTATACATATATACATGTATATATAAATACCTCGTATTATCTAGACACACAGAACGTACTAAATTTTCAGTAATGATATGACTTCCGCCCCATATATATAGTAGTCACCATTTACCAAAGTTCATTCTCATTCTCAGTGGGATCCAAATAAACTGGAAAGAAAGCCCTTGAAAACCGCCAAATAACTATGGCAGCTGCGAAGCGGAGAACGATCATTTATAATGAGTAGATGACTTACTCTATCTGAGACACACTTGCAAAGGTAATAGTATTCTCAGCTCAACTTTTAATTTAAAAGCTTTTCGATTTACCTTTCCGAAAAAGTTTGAAAACGTATTTTAAAGACAAATATCAACCTCACAACATTCGTCTACATGTGAGCTATTGTAGTTCGAACACTAATGAAACAGCAGAACATCGATTCATATTTGTGGATAAAAAATATTGGAATATCGTTTTCTTTGAAATGTAGCAATTCTGTTTTTTTTCTCTCGAAACGTATCGATCCTAATATAATAAGACGTTGTAAGATCTGTTCGTTAGGCGACACTTTATGTGTACGCCATTTTTATGGAGAAAAAAAAGAATTTAAGCGAAAATAACTTTTAAAAGATTTTTCTTTACAAAAACTGGGAACTAAATAATTTTTTATCTAGTAGAATGATACCTGCTCAAATAAGGTATTCTAACACGCTTCATTGATGCATACTTTCAGGCCAGTGATTTGAGCAGGAAATTTTTATTTTTATTAAAAGGGCTTTTAAAAACGTTTCTATGAAAGCTTAGATTCACATTATATTAATAATCCAAATGTATGGATTGTTCTCGAATAGCGTATAGCGAGACCTTTCATCCGGCCACATCTTCGTTAAAGATGATTTTAGTAGGAATAATGTATTTCAGCTCCAAAGACTTCTTTAGGTCTTTACACTTACGTGGAGTATTGATTCTTTTTACATCTCTATGAAGAATAAGACAGAATGAGCTCAGGAATCTAAATATGTGTAGAGAGAACTTATAATTGCTTGTGTTTGCTACGATTAATACGATATGTTATGATAAATAACGATCGTTGCAATCATTGAGCTAGGTTATTGAGGAGAAAATAGCAGAGCTGAATATTCTCTGTGTTGTCACCGATTGATGAAGAATTATTGATCATACTTACTTTGTAGACTGAACCATAGTTTCAAGAGAAAAACGAATATAAAATCAGAAGTAAATAATATGCCAATACAAACTTTAAACACGTGCTTCATGTGTAATGATTGCATATGTGTGAGCTTAGCAACTCGTCCTTTAAGTGTAACGGTGAATAGTGAAGTCGACAAACAAAATTAAGTTTTTGTCAGCATTAAACATAGTTTTGAATAGTTACCTGCCACTGATGAATGGAAAAGTTTAGGTATTTATGTATTCTTGAATTAATATTTGCGCATCTTTTCGATGTCGGTTAATTACGTTCATCCAATAAAGAGTTCGTTTCCATAGTTTTCTTACCAGAAGATTGAAGGTTTCTACTGAATATTACCGTAGGAATCCACTATTACGAATATTTATCTGAAACTTGACACACGTATATAACAATCTGAACTGATTAGTTCGTACGAAAACAAAATACGAAACGTTTGAAGTGAATCTTACAGAATTATAAAACTTTCAGAAACTTGTTTGCTATATATATACTACTGATGAACAGATATCTATACTTAGAAAGTTCTGTATTTGAAAGATTCATTATCTGAAAGTTCAGAAATTTTTACGCAAGCGATTCTAATCGGGATCTTCATATGGAAAAGATTTTAACTACAAATATTTAAAAAATCATCGTGCTGAAAATATAAAAATCTACAGAGAGACTGTACACAAAAGTCTTTGATCCTCCAGATTGGGTACTGTAAGAACCATAGATTGGTCACGAGCTCTTTTTGCTAGTAAAAAAACGTTTTAGATGTCCTTCGAAGAAATTCTATAATTTACATCTAGTAGAGAAAAAATGACTGATGATACGAATAATTCAGCGCAACCTACTGACTCAAGTGTCAGTAAGTAATCGTATTGGATCACAAGTTTTTATTTCATCACTTATTCATTCTGATAGAAACCAATAATAATTACTTCAATCAACTATTTTTGTCAGATGATGATACAGGAACTTCAACGGAGTTGACCGTGCTCCCTGCACAAACAACGTTGCTCACTGATGACAATATACCATGATTAAATGAACATGTTTATTCTATTGATTGTTCAGCTTCAAATGTGCAAGTGTCACACTTGGATTCGAATAAAACAAATATCCATAGCACTACAAGTGTCGATGAAGTGTCAATTGATAAACAGAGTGATACGATACAACAATATTCAACATTATGGAGTATACAATATAAAGAGAGAAACTATCATAGATTGGAATTACTTTAATTATTTCATTGTAGATCAATCGAAGACTCAAGTGTCCTCCAAAATTGTTGATAGTGAACCAAAGAAATCAAAAATACAACAACATATCATGATAAGTTACTTTCGCGAGTCATTTTTAGAAGTCTGTGAAAAAATATGTATTATACTTCAGGTTAATATACACGATTTTATGTATACAAATATGTATAATAATTTTCATTCATAGAATTGAAATCATAAAGTATGGATGGACAAAACTAAATTACATGGAGGTATACATGAAGCAATGGCTCGAGAAATTGAAAGCTCGCTCGCTGTTCTTGTCTGGTTCAATCATCAATACCGTCAGAGTTATTATTGCATACGAGCTAACTTTTGTTCTATAGAAATATTCTCCTGTATCTTATTTCTCACTAATATTAAAATTTATTTAGAGGTTCTGTACACAGTTAATAAACATATTAAATTCATTCCATGCCTCATGGAAGCATCATTTGAACCACAAGGCTCTGTTGATATTGCAATTGGATCATTCATAAATTAAAATCATCCATATCTGTCTGTATCGTTCACTTAATACAGACATAATAAGACATCAAATATGCAAATAATTCGTATATCGGATCAATTATATATTGACTTCTCATCATCGAATAGTTTTGACCAAGCTTTTGAAGAATTGATCGCTGAAATTGAAGCTATTCAGAGTGAAGATCAAGGAAAAGCTGGTAAATGAATGTTCCTACTGCATTATCTAATAGAAAGCTTATTGGATTGCCAATCGTGATCTTTGATCGAGAGTAGTTTTTATTCATAGTTGTCAGTGAAGTTATGACAAGAGCTTGAGAGTGCATTCTTCTGATAGTCATTGACCAACATGACTGAGAAAAGTCATCTGCTTTCTAGATGTAATAAAAATGATGCCATGACTGTGCATCATCGATAAAGAAATAAATGTCCTCTGTAGAATAAAAAAGGAGCGCATATGCAGGATGAATACAAGATTTTTCTTCATCAACATATTTGTTTTTAAGAACTTTATTTTCTGTTCCGACTTCGTATATTAGGCATCAAACATTTTGTTTAAAACCTTTGAGCACTACAATAATGTTATAGATCAAAAACCTGTTTCTAAATTCAAATATTAGTTACATTATTACTCAAATACGTAGTCAATCAAGAAATCGAGCAAAAACAACTTCTATTTTGCTACGGTTTAACAGTCTAAAAAGAATTTTATATTCTATTTATTGTGATTGTGATTTCAGTAAGAAAACATTGAAAGCGAATAAATTAACGGCACGATTTTTATTGGTTTAGTTTTCAGAAAGATTCGATTTTTTCTTAATGAAAACAAAAGACGTTAAATATATACTTAGCAAAGTATTTCTTCATTATTTGTTTTCTCTTTTAAAATCAGCAATGAAGAATTGTTTTTTTAATTTTACGGCTGCAACTTTCTTTTTCCATAATGAAAACAAGAGCAAAATTGACAAGCTACGAGAAAAGTCTTAAAATAAATTTCAACATTCTTCAATTATCTTCATATTGGCAGTTAGTCTAAAGTAGACAAGCTGATTTTGCACAAAACGATATCCAATGATACGTTCTAACATATATTCTACTCTTATCATTGTTTATATTTTTAAATTTTACTTGTTTCAGAAACGAATAAATCAATAATTAATGAAACTACGCACAGAGATCGAAACACTTCCATACATAATTGTCAAGGTTTGTTTCGTATGAGTGATAATGATTTGCAAATACTTACAAAGGAGGAATTTATTGAATATATTACTATTTTGCATCGACAGCATTTCAATGAAACTAAACCCTTCGAAGAAATAAACCACAATAATAAGCATGAGCATGAAAAAATGAATAATCAGCAAATATTGCAACAGCTTCTCATATAATCACGAAATCAAGTTGAATCTCTCGAAAATATTAATAGAACTCTCATCAATCTAACGCGTTTTAATACAATTGTGAAAGTTTTCTTGTTCATTCTATTTGTATGTAGTTCACATAATTTATTCAACAGCAGTTAACCATATTGATCAAAGCATATTGCTTTGTTTTTGAACGTGTATACTGGTTTCATCACAAGTCCTAGCTAAAGATGTCTAAAAGAATTGCTAGATAGTATCACTACTTGTATATGATCGCTTGCATCGTATACTTTTTATGGTACTTTGATATATGTACATGTATTAAAACTATAGCTATATTTTCTTTTGTTACATTTTCATCAATCAATCAATCTATAGATTTTCTGCATTTTATTGTCTTCAAATTCATACGTCTTTTTTGGTCTTATCTGTTGTTATCTCTTGAACTCTTGATTCTAAGTTATTGATAGCTCCTCTATAGTACTATCCTATACATTGTTTTCACTTCTTTACACTTGTATTCGTATTCTTTGCTTGCAAAAAATAAAACCTTGTACATATGTAATAAGATAATACTTCTCCATAATTATTAACAACTGTTTTGTTGAAGGCTACCTTGATTTCACACTATACATTATGAAGGGTTCACTTTTTCTCGCGTATAGAGCATTATCGGTGTTAATTACTATTCTAGAATGTAACACTTACTTTCAGAACAGTTTAGTTAGAACAAAGGAAATATGCCATAGTTATTATGACACTAAAATAGTCATAGTAAAGTGCTTCTTTGACACATGAGAGAGTGCGACTTGGATACAGTCAAAGTTGAAGTTGAAGTCGGAGTAACGGCAAATATTTAATATATGGCTGGATCAAATTTTTCATTTGAATCTCATTCGAATATAACAATTATTTAGAACATTTTTCTTTTAATCAAATTTCTTAGATTGGATGTGAGTGTAGGATTGAGAATAGCGTGTCTAGAATATTTTCGAGATGAAACCAGCTTCTGCTTAATAAGGAGCAAATAAAAATAAAAATCTCATCGTAAAGTCATGAAAATCGAGTTGCCAGATAGAAGTATTTAAAATTCAGTAGATTCCTCTTCAAATAATATATCGCTAAAGTCAAGAGAATAAATAAATATTGAAACACAATCAACTCAATGACTAACAACTTACAAAAGAATCATATAGTTCAATATTAAGAATGCCAGTGTATATCTAATTAGATCTACATTTCAATCATTGTCTTGTCATCTTTTTTACTAAAATTTTTGAAATTATGCAAAAAATATAAATGTAAAATACGAACTGCATTGTTTATGCAAGAAAAAACAACTAACTTAAGTTTGCTAGTGTTGACTTTCAATCATTTTTAATGGATTATGATCAAATTTCATATTTTTCAACCACTTACAGGTATTTTTATTATACATCTATTATGTCTGGAATGATCCCTGATGATTTCTATCAGTAGCCAAAAATGTTTTTCTTTCCTTTTGTTAAATATCTGTCAAAGGAAATATTATATGAACTCAATATTTCAGATTTTCCTCTAGGCAAACTAAAAATATGTTATTTACATTCTGTAGAATCTATAGGAGATTAGAATGAAATAAATATGCACATGTAAAAAACATTTTTGGGTCTAGTATATAAGCAGATTTCAGATGGAGTCTATCGCCTATCTCACTCACTATATCTCAAGCGAATATGATAAAAGGAGATAGATAATATTAGCATGTTCTTTGAACTTTTTCAGACATATAATACTACGCAAACATTGGCATACACCAATTAGTGTAGAGTTAGAGCAACGTATATCTTAAAAAGCACCCATAGAAATGACTATTTAATACTATTTCAGTATCATCTTCAACATCTGAGTGTTTTCTTTCAAAATGAAATGAATTAAAACATACGTAGGGAATATAATGGCAGACAAATAATTAAGTGATCATTGTATATATATGCTGTCACTTGAACGTGATTTTCAAATGGATTACAAACTTGTTTCCATTAATCATAACAATAGTAATTATAAACATACCGCGTTAATTAGGTATGTTTTGATGTTTGACTTGATTTCAAGTAGAAGTCAAATCACTGCTATTCAACTTTTGAAAACTGAGAACCGAGTCGTCCTTATGAATATTTTCTGGTTACAGTCCTAAAATCAAGCTCAAATTTTGGATGTGTAAGAATTCAAATGCAATTGAAATAGGTGACTTGGTTGATTTAAACATCGATGAAGTAGACAGAAAAAATGATATTCATGTGTCTCTAAAGATTATGCGATTACTGAATCAATTAACTCTTCTGAAGCATATAACTGTGATAAAACGGATGAGCGAATATCTTTGTCGTACAGTACAACTAATTATAATATAGTATTAAGTATGATCCATAAAAAAGACGATGCTCAAATCTTCTATTGTTGATATAGAAAAATAATAAAGTTTATATTTTTTTCGCAAATATTTAAAGTTATTTTAGAAGAACTAAAAATTCTAATGTTCTTTAGCAAAATTTTATCTTTTCTATAATAAATTAATTTTTTCTCGACGTGCAAACGTATTATCGTAATTGTTCATCATGCTGGTCGTTGCAGTCGTGATATTTTTATCATTATCTGCACATATTCAAATAATGAGTATCTGAGTATGAGAGAATGTTCTCATTACAAATTATGGCAATACGTTCATTAAATGAAACTTTGTGAACATTAATTTTATTAATATTTTGCACTTTATGCAAAAAAGTATTTAAACATGTTTTAAATCGCAGGAGCAATCACTTGTGGATTAATCAATAATCGTGTTCGTCTTGGTGCAATACGTTGAAATGCCACATGAAACATAGTTTTTACATTCTGATAAAAACTAGGTCAAGCAATCATATAAATATAAAACATAATTGCATGCGTGAGAAAGTCGATAAGAACACACACTGTATTAACTAATGTTTCTATTGCCAAACGCAATGCACTTTTGCTGATTGTTCCTGTAGAAATTGTATAGATTGAATGCGCAGCAGTTGGTAAGCTGGTAACAATAGCAACAATAATTTGTGCAATAATCATACGTATTACCTGATCTTGTCAACGAATACCACCATGTAAATATATTGCAGGTAATTGACCAACAGTATTCCAAATTAAACAGCAAAGAACGGAAAGTACTGTTATTGGAATGACACTGTAGACGAATAGGCTAATAAAAGGCATCAACTGAATCATTATAGGATTGACCAACTGACAGGCACCTGGGTTTGGTGCAATGAAGAAAATAGCGTAGATTGAAAAAATCCTAACCAAAATATTGCAGCAAGAATAATAGCTAAACGTGCTTGATTTAATGTAATCTTTGCACAATATTGAGTTCGTACCAAAATGTATCGATCCACAACAGCTAGACTAACACAAGTCAATGAGAAAGCACCACTTGCTGGGTCCACCATCCAACGAGCTTTACAAAGAAATAATGAAGTAAATAATGAATCGCGTGCAGTCAAGCTGTAAATGACTCATAAAAGAGTTGCTATCAACAAGACAAACTAACTGTCAATAAAGGAAGCCAAAAGAAATAAAGAACTGACCCATGTATTGAGGCTTTCAAGACGAATAAATGAGATTATATCAATTACATTTCCGACAGTCTCAATTAAAAGTATGATTAAACTGCCCCAATCATATAAATTCTGTGAAATTTCTAGTAGTATAGCTGTACTATCAGGGGCCATCGATATATTTTATATTCATTAATATAAAAGAAAGATAAAAGGTTAAGTTGACAGTTCATAGGTGAAAACTGACAAATCAGAAGAAGAATTAATGAAACTAATGAATTTGTCGTTTTTAAAAGAATAACATAAGATAAATATTAACAAGTAAAGACGAAGAACATTATGGACGACGACTTACAGGCGATGTTAAAAAAGCGCTCAGAAAAAGACTTGTAGAAACAAGATTCATAGGAATTTAAAACATCATTCTATAAACAATTTATTCATCTTAAGTGAACTTAAAAAAGAATGTTATTCAACATAAATGCGATAATAATCGCTTTCTAAGTAAAAATAATCTATAATCGAATATTCTCTTCATTTGTACGGAAGTTAAAAAACTAGTCGGCCATTGTCTTCTACTTTTTTCGCAAAGAATCTATAGAAGTTTAAAAGAAACGCAAATGATAATAGGGGAAAAACAGAGAATATATATTCTTTGTCAAATTTAACTTCAAAAATTTGCATAACATCATCAAATAAAATAAAATATTGTATGTAATCAAAATAAATAAATCACTCAGTATATATGTGACAACTTTAATAAATTTGATAAGCTACTAATTACATGTTTATATTGATAGACGATCTTTGAAATAAAAATTGTCATTCATGCGTATGTGATAAAATTCTATTTATGACGGTTCTTTTATTTTTTCTAAAATGGAACTTTTATAAAGGACTTATTCAAAACATAAAGATAAAAGAAATATGCTTTACATTCAATAATATTTTTGATGATTTCGAATGATAGTGTGCTTCTTCTCGACATTTAACGATAAACAGTATTGATGCATAGATAAGAATAGAAACAGTGCGATGCTAATAATGTTGTAATTAGAATTCATCATGGTACTTTTCAGGTTGAATACTTTTTCTTAAGTAAATATAATCAAACAGATGTTAAAATAATATATTTGATCCCGAATTCACTATTCTAATTAGATTTTGATATTCATTTTTGATGACAAACTTTGTCAACATAATCATTCTAAATTCCTTCAATTAACAGTGTTATCAATATCAATTGATTTTATTCAATTATTAATACATGTCTAGTGAATCTCTATCATTTTCTTTTAGTTTTTTTTCTGTTAATCGCAATTTTTAGATAATTCACTAAATTTATCATTTCAGATATTCTCTATGGAGAACGACAACAAAAAGACCATACTATAAAAAAGATTTCTCAATCGACGACACCAATTATTAGTTTCACTATATTTTTGGAACAAGAATAATAATTAAGATTATGTACATCATTGTATGAATAATTCATAGACGACAAACAAAAACTGAAACGATTTGACAAACAACAGCAGAATTTATTTTTAAAAGAACCTTTTGTTAATAAAGTTGAATGTTTAACAATGTTTTTGAAAGTAAAGAAAAAAAAATCAAAGAGTTTCTTGTCTAATTGTATTAAAATGATTAAGCAAGTTCCATAGCTTCATGAGCTCCTGTTGCTTTGACTTTTTCATTAACTATGTCAAATTCGATCTTTTTTACATTTGTTGATATAACTTCAGTTGTTCCTTTGGCTAATGTATAATCAGCCTGTCTGAAAACGAGAAATAACGAAAATTTTAATTTAATACAACATCGAAAAATTGAGATATATTCACTTTTCAGTACGAGCAGCTACAATTTCGTATGGTAAAAATTTATCCAATTTTTCTTTTGTTAATACAAACATATTAATTTTACTTCCTGAATATAAATCTGTTGTTGTCGATGCATAGAGCGCATCACGTACTAATTGTTTTGCTTCATCTTCCTTTAAAAGATAAATATTAACTTCAGAAAAATTCAATTCAATTCAATTTACTGTCATATTTTCTTTATAACGATCTTCAATAACAGATAATGATGTATATCCACCAGAACCTAAATTTTATATTTTTATTAATAACATTAAGAAAGAAAGAAAGAAAGAATTTAACCTGAAGCCACAAACGGTAAAAACGCGATACTTCCATGAGGATGAACTGTTGCTATATGAGAGCCAGTTACATCGACACCAACAATAATCAAATAAGCACCGATATAGCCTCGATATCTAATATAAAAATTTAGAATTTTATAATTAAAATCATAAGAAAAAAGAAACCTGAAGAGATGTTGTTGTATTTTTCTAACAGCTGTTGCAACACGAACTTGTCGATCTTGATTCAATTTCAGTAATTCAAGTTGAGATTCAAGTAAACGTGTTTGAAAATCACAATCAGCTGATGTTCCGGCACCAAGTGCATAGATATTATCCGATAAACGATGTATTTTTAATACATTATCATCAAATATTATATTTCCTGCTGTACATCGACTATCAGCAGCAATGACAACACCATCCTATTTTGTTAAATTATAAGTTGATCTGAATTCTTATAGAAATATTTTAATTACATACCTTATATGTAATAGCAGCAATTGTTGTACCAGTTTTATGAATTTTACCAGGTAGAACATTATTTTTCAATAAAATATCATTTCTGAACGAAAAAATGAAAGTAATTAAAATATTTCAAGGAATAAATTATTACCGGCGACAATTATCAAAGACGAACCCACCAGCAGGTTGTTCAAAAGCGATGCCAGACATAACTTTTTTCCTTTTAGCGTTTTTCACAAATAAATAACGAACGAATTTTTATCAACAATAAAAACGACACTTGATGAGTCATCGGGTGGTACCCATTTTTATGTCGCCCTCTATTAAATGGAATATTCAATATTGTATTTCGAATAATTATTTAAAACGTAATTAGTTTTTTCTTTTATCTCATTTTTCAAAGAAAATATTATTTATTTTATGTCAGTTCTTCAATGGTTACTTTCAAAACCAATGATCATGCTAATAAAAATGTCGAACGAATTTTTTTTTGGAAAACATTACAGCTGTTTTCAAGATTTTATAAGCAACTGAAGTTTTGTGAGACTTTCAAAAAATTCAAATTCTTCGTCTGTGATTATTTAAAAAAAATTCAGGCAAACATCTGAACCAGATTGTTTGAAAAGCCATTTTATTCTGTGATATATGAATGTGAATAAACCTGAGTAATATAAGCAATGACTATCATCAAATTTATCAGATTAGTTATATTTCATCAGCATTTGTTTCTATATGATCTCCTATATAATCTGACACTTGTCAAAAATGTATAGAAAGTAAAGGATGAAAACGTTTCGTTGAATTATAAAAAATTGAGTTACCCAGGTCCAAGCAACCGGCCCGGGAAACGGTCGGTTCCCGCGCATTCCCGCAATTTCACGGAAGCAGTATTCCGGACCGGGAAATCTTCGGATTTTTCCTGTAAGTTCCGCCAAGTTCCTGTTGGTTTCCGTCCGAAATCACCGGAGAAATCCGTCCCGGAGTACTGCTTCCAAGGTCCGGGGATATCCAGCGTTTTCCTGCACCCTCCGGTGCGTTTCCTGCATGTTCTTGGCCGGTTCCAATTAAATCCGCTCATTTCCGGAGGCCGGAAACATCGTCCTGGGTAATAGTTTCCGATCTAGATACGTAGCCAGGATCTGACCGTTTTCAATCCGGGTATGGAATCCGGATTGCACCGTCCAACCAACCGGATCCGGCGATTAGGAATTATTCGATACCTCCTCTTTCTAATTGAAAAAAAAAGCTGTGAATTTCAACGATAAGTAAATATTTCTTATTGGAAGTAGGAATCTGCAGAATCACTGCTTAGAGTTGGATTGGAACCAACTTTTCAAAAAGCATCACAGAACGTGGACTAAGCAACATATTTAGACTGAAATCAATAAATTAATGAATTTAACTGGATCTTATTGTCGATTCTATCACATAAAATTTTTACTATACATTGCTAATCTAACTAAGTTTCCTTAATTTGATATACTTAATGTATTAACAATTACTTTTGACATAAACCCCATTAAAATTGGATTAAAACCATGGAATACGAATAGGATGATCACAGTTTAATAATCAGACAGTACCTTTTAAACAATTATTTGGTTTTGAACGTATTCATTTAGCAATAAATGAAACAAAAGAAGTATTTTTTCCTTTTACGATTGAAGCTGCCTTAGCCGTCACACGTGATGGATCGAAATGGTTGTATTCTGGTTTGTATCGTATCTTCGTTGGACAACAGCAACACATGTTTTCAATCGAGCTACGAGGACAATCCGCTCGATTGGCTTGATATTATTTTTGAAGAGATACTTTGTGTAGTGCAGCTAATTCTTTCTAATATAAACGCATCTATCACAAAATTATTTTTTTTGTTAAACGATTTTTTTTATATTTCATTTTTTGAAATAATGATTCTTCGTAATTCATTTTAGAAAACTGAACGTTTCTTTTAGAGATCATCTGTTCAAGAGAGCTCGTCTAAATTAATCTTTTTAGGTCGATTAGTATCACTTAGAGACGACACTTTTGTACGTGCTGCTACTTGATAATAGTCCCAGTCTTCTGTTAAATATTGATGTTAGTGATCAACTATCACTTCATGTTTGTGTCGTGGATGTGGGTTAACTGAAATTTCACAATCATGCTCAAATCCTAAAGTAAAATAAATGTGAAAACATCGGATTTAAATCATAGAGTGTTATGTGTACTTCAAAAAGTAAAACTAATTGATGACAGATATCTCATCAAGATACATCCCTTGCCAATAAATTGCAAGAAGAAAATGCAAGCGAGCTAAGTTAGCATGGATTACACTGTATGCGACCATATGCGGTGACCACTGACTCTACTCTCAAAGTGACATAATATCTTTAGAGATCACATAAATTGAGTTCAGATTCGTGTTTAGCTTGGAAAACTGGGTAAGAAGAGTAATTTTTGAATGGATTTACGTTTGTATCTAGCGGGATTACGATCGTAAACAACCTCATGAATCTAATTATAAGAGATATATGATAGATATAGGCATCAGTATTTTCCTAATAAATCACTAATATCAATAGCTATCGGGTTCGGGGTTTTACCTTTCGATAGTCCTTTTGACAAGTTACAAAACGAGGCATTTGGGAAACCCCTAAACTACTAGTCATCTGAGACATACCTAGGCAGTTTGGTTTCTGAATGCATTTTTGTGCATTTTGAGACCTTTTTTAGACGGTGTTTTGTTAGAAAGCTACTATTTGGTTCTAAATCAATATCAGATTCATAATCAGAGTTAAAAACTGAGTCAATTCATATATGTTGCGAATAATTTTGAGAAAAAAATCCCTGTAGCCCCTCTCAGAGATGGTCTGGTAAATAATGACAATTTTTTCGATAACTCAGTCATTTCTTAACGGATTACCTTTATCTTCGAACTCGACTGACATATTGATGTGATCATTCCGTGTACAAAATTTCATGACAATTGGATGAGGCCTTCAAAAGTTATTGCGTTAACGGACGATCGGACGGACACACTGACCGAATCAAGAGTGTACTCACTTTTTGAGTACACAAAAACAATGATACAACCATTATTTCATACAACCAGAAGATTATCAACATAACTTAAGGAATCCATTGTACAACACAGACTCAATAAGAACCTATAGAAATTACGCATACTTCAAAACTAAAACAAATTTGGTAACTTATCTTTAATTTTATTCGTTGTATGCAAACTCATTTAAACATTAATAATTCGAATCATTTTCATTGAAATATGTAAAATTTTTGTATCATTTTTCAAGACTTTTTATGGTTTCTTTATATATCGTGATATTTCTACCTTTCGCTAACAGAAAGTATCAAAAACAGCTAGGCTAATCAGATTACATAACGCGCACTATTCAGAAATAGATGTCATTGGTCCTATAAATTGAACAGCACACATCAACATAGCTAGCTTATTCTAGTCGTAACACTTTTAATAGTAATATGGATCGAAAAATCAACTAATATCACAATAAAAGTTCAACTAGCAGTAGTTATGTGTCCAGTCCATCATCATTATGGTATAAATCATTGGCAATACAGCTGCAAATACTTTGCCCGCTTACCAGATGAGTTACATGTGAGAATTTTGAACATCTTTCAAATTAATTTTAAAGAAAGATCTTGCAGAATATTTCAAGAAAGATTGAAAAAATTTGAAATCATTTGAATTGACCTGAGAAAATCTTTAATCCACGCCCACATTCAGAATAGACTCAGTCATAGGAAAACAAATATGACAAAAGGCCCCATAATTAAAATGTCCTATTTGTGTCTCATTCAGAGCTTATAAAATCATTTTATAACAGATAAGCAAAATAAACGAAAATCCGCTTTCTTGCGCAGCATTTTTAATTGTTGTCTTACTATTTAATATTCGTTGACTGCGGACTACTACACATATATATGACTCGCTAATTATGAAAGTGGGCTCTTGTTTGAAAAAATTAAAATAGTTTTATTAGATGTACTGTTGTAGACAAACATCTTTCCCAATTCATAACTAAAAGTAAAGTAAAAACTCTTAACCCACTTCGCAATTCAGAACATAGACGGTAATGAGGGTTCAACTTGCGCGTTTATCTACGTCCTTTCACAAACAAACAAGGATCATATATTTATTGCTAAGCACTAATATATCCTCTTCCTAACTGATTCTAAATCGAAAAATACATTTGATCGCATACATAGGTACCGAAAGACTGAAGTATATGTGATCTTCTTCTAAGAAACATCGGTGATAGATCTTCGATCGAATAATCGATGTGTATTTCAACTAATTACATGCTCACGTAGCAGTTCACCACATGAGCACACTGACGAAAAACCCATTTTAAAACAGTCTCCTCAATCCTATACTAACAACTGCTAAAAACAGAGTTCGTAAAATTCAGCGTATTTTTTGTTTCTTCTCCTCTTATACCTTTTACTTGAGGCAATTGGAATTCTTTCTCGATGGGTTTTAGGTGAAAGATCTTGGGCAATGCACACTAAACTATAAAGTGTTGTAGCTTTTTGTCGCAGGATATAATGTTAGCGATTCGATTATTAAAAAGAGTCACAATTAGAAATGGTCACAAAAATGGTCCGGTTCCGTGTGCACGCTATTCAATCACCGTTTTGTTCAGCCGAAAGATCTCTATATAAGCAACTTCACTTAAGATAGAAAGCTTGTATATTTTCCTACTGATTTTTCTTGAAGACTATTATCAATCACGATTCATAGCCCTTTTCGTCCTTTCTCAGTATTTCCCTCTCAATTAGTATATTTACGTCTAATTAATTACGGTTAAACTAGAAAGATCTTTGAAGGAATTGACCAGGTTTACTTTTGGTCGATTTCAGTGTAACGCTATTGTTTTTTCGTTCACCAAAATCCGCCTGGCCTGGGTTCGCTTACTTCCATGTGTTCACTACGCAATCACCGATTTTTTCAGCGGATAGATCTCTATAGAAGCAACTCTGCTTAAGATAGAAAACTTACTTATTTTCATCAAGATTATTTCCACTTATCTCTTCAATAATTTGCACTGCCGATTCATGACCTTCGGCGTTCTTTCTGGCTAATTAAACATTAAGTGTGGTATTTTAAAGTCTTTCTCATTAAGAGAAAAAAGGATCTCACACGGTAACAACTAAGCAAATTCTTGTCGAACATAACTGTTTCAAGCTTAAGTGTTGTAAATTCGATAGTGACAATTTAACGCAGATAAATTCAACTGATTCGTTCTATTGATTATCAATTCACCATTGTATTTTACACTAACAGCTGCATATATGACACTCCATAAAACACCCGAAATTCACACATTTTTCATCCTAATCTTTATTCACCATTATTTATTCGCCAGCAAACATTAGTCCCAATATATCTACTTCAATATTATATAGATCAAATACACTTCTACCACGAATAACGAAGCATAATTATTAACATTTCAAAGGTAAAGTCATTCAAAGCTCTTTCTCGCATAATAACTCTCGATAACGGTATTCAACGATCTCATCCATTCACACTGTTTGAAATTAAAACATCTGAAAAATAACTTCTAAGTCAATATCTTCCATTCAAGATATTTCAGACTCCGATTCATTGCATTTCATATAAAAGGATCCTTAAAGATCGTCCTTGTTCAATGCAGCAAGTTTGAGGTTTTAAAAACTGCTCCTTCCTCTCAATCGATCGCTAAAGATGCTTAAAAACGTTTTCAGTCGCTACATTCCATTCCATGTACCTGAAAGTCCAGTTTATTCCACTTTGCCAAGAAGGATCCTTAAAGATCCTTATTGTTCAATAACACTTATTTCAGGCATTTTGAGGTCTCATTCCTAGTCATTCACCAAGAAAGTCCTTTGACGATTCTTCTATTTCCAAAAAAAATCAATAAGACTACAAAAACGTCACATACGAGGGATTGACTGAAAAAGATCTTCAAGGATCCTTTTCGATAAAAGTGAATGAATCCTTCGTTCAAACACCTCAAATAGAAGGTAGTGAGTTTGAATGACGTTTAAGGCGTTTTTCGGAATCGATAGTCAGGCAAGATGCGTCGAAATACTGGAAGTTTATGGTAACTTGCTTTAGATGTGTTCACGTCTGGTGTGGTATAGTGACGGATTTTGAAGCAGTGCCTGAGATTAGTGCCATTATGGAAGCCGGCTGATAATGTATGGTATTGGGGGTACGACTAGCCAAGACGGGTAGGTGCTATGGTGCCGGGAAAGCTGCGCAAGATCTCAGGAAGATTGGAACTTCCGAAATTTTCCTAGCTGGAACCGGTCGGATTTCGTTAGTTACGGCGCGTGTTCCGTTTGTATTCGTGATGATCACGGGTCGGTTCCGGAAATTTTCCCCAATAGTTACGGTCGCGGGAACACTACGGAATACTCAGGTTACAATGCGATGATATCCAAACGGAATACGGCTTCCACCTTCCGGATAGTTTTCCGGTTGGAAAGCCTTTGGAAATCCTCGGAAGTGTCGCGATATAACGCCGTTTCCGGTCGGTTCCCGAGTCCGGAATCATCAACCTGGGCACTCTTTCTCCGGGGCGCGTCACTCAACCGGAGAGAACGAGAAAGAACACGACAAAGAGGAAGATAGAATACACATGACAATGAGGAGACAGTCGTTATGTACATTGATTAAGATAGAACGAGTGCTTATATCGGCACAGTAGCCTTGGTACGACGTGTATTTCCTGATATATGTATTACTACCTGTGAGTATCTAATGCACACTGTAATGGGCTCTCTATAAGCATAGCTTGTGAATCCTAACGTTCCCCTTGATATCTTGATGTTGTTAATATCACATGTTTTGCTTATCTCCTTATCCACAAATCAAAACATACTAATATTCTATAAAAATATCTTTATTTTTTATTAAAAAGTCTAATTAAGAGCAACAACTGATTTCCATGCGGATCGGTTAGAAATTTTGTTCCACCATTGTTTGACATGTGGACGAGAGTCGAATAATTCATTTTCACCAGCTTTTACGAGCATCGCACCATATGGTAAATGAAATAAATCGGCCAGTGTAAATACCTAATGTATGAAAGCAAAATTAATTTTCATATTACAGAGTTTAAAGAAAAACTATTTGAACTACTTCGCCACCAATATATGATTGCTTCGATAAAATTTTTTCGTAAACATCCAAAACTTCACTCAATTGTCCTCGAAGTTGCGCTACTGTGTTCATATCTGGTTCACCACCACGCATTCTAGTTTTCACGAAGAAATAGATTTTAAAACAACAAATAAAATCATCGAACGATAAGATTGATTTACTTTTTCAGTACTTTTTCGCCAACCATTTTCCTAGCAAATGAATCGAAATTCGATGATTCAATCGATACACCTTGTTCAAATAGACCTAGAGCTTTGATACCTTTTGGAATTAATTCAGTACCATGTCCTTTATATTTCTTTTCCAAATAGCGACATATAGCTCTTGAATCTATAGTAAAGTATATTTCGATAATATAAATATTGTTTAGAGGGCAACAAACAACTACCAACGCATGAATGCTTGATTTTGTAACATTGAAGATCGCATATATACAGTTATCAACAGCTTAAATTTTTAAGCTTCAATGTTAAAAATCAAGCATTATTGCATTTCTAAAAGCAAGTTGTCGTTTTGAATTCAAACAATATGATATAATCTTATGAACGAACCATAAATCATGAAACCATCTGAATCGACAAGTGTAGGAATGCTACCAAATGGATGTTTTTCCAAATAATTAGGAGTCTATTCAGAATTGTTAGATAGTTTATTGTATGATTCATCCATCTAAGGCAATACTTACCAAATTTTCCCCATTCATCAAGTTGACTACTTTCAATTCATAGTCGAGACCTTTTTCGGCAAGTGCAACTAACACGCGTTGAGTGGCCGTCGACAATGTCATACCATATACGACTATTACACCTTTGGACGACATTATTTCACGACTTAATTACTTGTAGATCTCGGTGATTGACAATAGTTGTAGTAGCTAGAACACTAATTACTTGAACAGACGATTAATGTGCAGATGATAATTCCAATTGCCAATGAATAAAAAAAAGCATGCATTTATATAGGTATATGAATATACATATAAACATGAATTACAATAAGTTCTGCTTTGTCATCTTACGATATTTGCATAGAAAAGGAACTTTTAAAGTTTGACTGTGGCTTATTCAGGAGTCGAGCGTGTCACTGGGAAGAAAAATGCAATGTCACTATTGATTTTATGTCAACAGAAAGAAAATGCAACAAGATCGACTATGTTATTAAAAATGAATTGAACAAGCATGACGAAGCAGATGTCGATGTGAATATTGTTCTTTCTTTTACAAAGTTACATATTAGGAAGAATAAACATAGAAATAAGTTCGTAATCATCGCTATGGTATTTCTCAGTTTTGCCAAAAAGGCACAACAAGGAAAGTAATAAGTAAAGTCTGGGAATCTGAATAATCAAAATTAGATTATTTTCATTTTAATATAAAAAACAAATCTGAACAATAATCATAAACTGCACAGTAGTTTGCACTGAATCTTTGTAAAAAGGAAATAATTCTATTTTATTATTACAGGCCAATCTATCATTTTTAGATTTTTTTAAAGATAATACATTAAAGAATCATACACAGCGAAAATCAAGGATATGTGTCTCAGTTTGTAAATATAGATAAGCATATGACATCAAATATGGAAAGAAAATCAAACGATTAGGGATGCACCAGTACCAGTATACTGGGTACTGGTCATACTGGTAAACCAGTATACTGGTCATCAGTAATACTGGTCCACCAGTATACTGGTCATCAGTAATACTGGTCCACCAGTATTACTGGTCACCAGTATACTGGTTTTCTACTTTCAAAAATAACTATTAGCTAAATGAGTCATTTTCTCAGCCATCACTTCCTGTGTCTATATTCAAGTGAAAAATTGAGTTTTGCAGCAGTTTGAAACAGTATAAGATGCTCTATACTCAACTAACTGATAACATTATCTAGAACATTTTTCAATAGTTTTCAGCGTTTTTGAAGAAAAAAGATCATTAATTCAAGTCATAGTCATGGTAAAAAAAGAAATCGTAGTCGAAAATCTATATTGAGTATATTATATAGCACTAAAAGTCAGTAAATGGAGAAAAAAATAAATGTATATGTGTAAACAATGACAATTGTCGCTTGTATTAGTATTAAATAAGAAAATACTATTGATACGAGGGCACCTTATGCACTGATTTTATTCAGTACTAATAAAACTACTATATTGATGTGTCAGGTTAAACTTCTAGGTATAAATCCAAAACGATAAAGAGTTAAGGGCATTATTTGTGCTTACATAAGTTAAAAGATTCGATCAAACTATTGGTATCGTTACAAAATTGAGTAGGTAATAGTGGCATTGCTTGTTTACCGTGCCGTAATTTTCATTTAATATATGTATTATCTATTCCATATCCGATATCGTGAACAAAATAGCTCTAGCTCTAGCTATGTAACTTATATACATAAATTAATGCAATATATATGTGAAAATAGTGTCATTCGACTGAGAGAGAAGTAGAAAAATCAAGCAATTTACTTATATGAGATTTATGTAACTAAAAGTTGATAAAGTTCACTAAATATCCAATTGTTTTTTTCGTGATCGATTAAACCTAAGTTCAAGTTGGTATGTTAAACACAGTATTCCGATTCATCGGTTTATTTCATAAGATTGTTTTACTGTCTGACTAAATTCATGAATGAAATTCTTTTTCTCTTCAAAAACGTTGAAAACTATTGAAAAAAGTTCTATATAATGTTATCAGCTAGTTGAGTATAGAATATCTTATTGTGTTTCAAAATGCGGCCAAACTCAATTTTTCACTTGAATATAGACAGCGGAACTGACGGCTGAGAAAATTACTCATTTAGCTGGTAGTTATTTTCGAAAGTAGAAAACCAGTATTACTGGTCACCAGTATTTACTGGACCAGTAGACCAGTATAATACTGGTACTGGTGCATCCCTAATCACACAGTTCTTCGGCATAGACTGTAAGAACTACGAGCAGAATAATAAATCCTTAGGGGTTTCTGAAACGTTTCACATACGGTGAAAGGTTTTGTTATTCTACCATTATTTTTAACAGTATAGTGCTTTCTCAAATAGCCATAGTCGTTGCTGATACATAAGCTTGAATTTCTTTGATCACGTTGAAAACCATTCAAACTGTTACGAGAGTAATAATGGTAACCGGTAAAGAATGCATTTTCTTTTCAGTAATTTCTAGAACTTATGATTATCACACTTAAAAGTAATTATCTGTAACTTTCAAGTTCGCCTGATGAACATTCATCCTAACTTGTTTTGACAGCTGAAAAGCATTTGAAACTTTATTTAAACCATAATTGAAGTTAATGAAAGAAATCAACTTTAATTTTAAGCAATTATCTTTGCTGCAGATTTGTGAGAGCAATATATTCAATTCAAGAATGTTTAGGTAACGATTGCATAGTGTATCAGGTACGTGCTGATAAAGCAGTGTATTCTCCTGTATACTTGATATGTTAAAGTTGACAGTTCAATATCACGAGTACTCTTTTTCGATAGCTATTATCTATTGACTCGGTATTAAATAATCGTACCAAAATGAAGAGTGGTATAACTTAAACTCCTCACGAGGCACTGAATGTATCGATACACAGGACAAAGTCGCCTAATGAAAGAAGATCTTTCAAAAATATCCATTCAACTTTATACAATATAACAGAGTTCTACTTGTTTTTAGAAAAACATGTGCTTATCTTTTGTTTATATCACAACCACATCACACCCTATCCACCGGATAGTATTTTTTTAATAGAATTTTATCGTTTATTTCAATACCGATTACATATCGATTGCATACCTCTCACTGAATTGAGCAATCATTAACTTTAATTTCTTAAATCAATTGATGTAACTGTGGTTATTTGATAGAAATATGGTAGATGTAAAAATGCTTCATCTTATATTTACACACACTCTTATCATGATTTCATGGACTTTTCTTATTTTTTTGTCTCTTATCTGTCACGTTGAATTCAAGTAGCCGACATAATAAGATAGATATCATTACTTTATTCTTATTGTTAGAAATAAGAATTCCGAGGCTCACGATTGTGCTTGATATTATTTCATTTTTAGAGATGAGCGATCCACTTAAACGTGTTGCTATCGTTGGTAGTGGTAACTGGTATGTATTGAAATTTAATTTTTATATATGAATACTATTTTTCTATTCTAATCATTAGGGGTTCTACCATAGCAAAAATTATTGGCAATAATATTGTAAAATTTAATACATTTGAAAATGAAGTACGCATGTATGTTTATGAAGAAATGGTCGATGGACGAAAATTAACTGAAATTATTAATGAAGAACATGAAAACACCAAATATTTACCAGGCCACAAATTTACGCCCAACATTGTGAGTTCGATTTTCTTCTATAATATCAAATCATCTATAGAAATTCTTCAATTAAATACTCTTAACAAAAAAATCTGATCTAGGTAGCTTACGCAGATGTAGTTGAAACTGTCAAAGATGCTGATATTTTACTATTTATTTTGCCACATCAATTTGTTGAACGAACATGTAATGCGATTAAATCGCATGTAAAACCGGGTGCTTTTGCTGTCTCTTTTTCGAAGGTATTTTATTACACTGAGTCATGCATAAATTGATTGATTTATTTCTTAAGGGCTTTTATGTCGGTAAGGATAATACTGTTGAATTGCTATCAACAGCAATAACTCGTTTATTGGAAATACCTTGCTATGTTGTAATGGGCGCAAATATAGCCTCTGAAGTAGCGTCGGGAACATTTTGTGAAGCAACAGTTGGCGCACGTAATTATGAACATGGACAGATGGTGAAAGGTCTTCTTCAAACTGAAGAATTTCGTATTGTTATTAAGCCCGATACAGAAGTTATCGAAGTACTGGGTGCATTAAAAAATATTGTTGCTGTAGCGGCAGGATTTTCCGATGGATTAGGATATGGTGATAATACGAAAGCTGCTGTTATTCGTCTTGGATTAAAAGAGATGGTTAAATTTTGTGAAGAATTTTTTCCGGGTTTGTTATTCGTTGTAGGAAAATGTTGGAACTTTAATTTAATTTATAGGACATCATCCACACATATTTTTGGAATCATGTGGTGTTGCAGATCTCGTAACAACTTGTTATGGCGGTCGTAATCGTAAAGTAGCTGCAGCATTTGTTAAAACTGGTAAAGATATTAAAACATTGGAAGCAGAAATGCTCAATGGACAAAAATTACAAGGACCTGATGCAGCTGCTGAAGTTAAAGAATGGCTCAAAGAAAAAGGACAAGCTAATAAGTCAGCGTTTTATTTTATTGCACTACAAAATCTATTCTTCGTTTTACCTTAGATTTCCATTGTTTACAGCCGTGCATGATATATGTGAACGACGAATTGAACCAACAGCATTAATTGATGCTCTTCGTTATCATCCAGAATTCTGGTAAACACAATACCTAGTCAATATGAACGTAGTGTCTATGAGCAGTCTATCAATTTTATATGATTATGATTTTCGATTATTGAAAGCTAACTGTGATATGTGACCATGTGTTATTTTCTATTCTACGTTTATATGCATGCCTCTTTTGTTTTCATGTGATTTCTTGTATGTGTTGACTGATGTTTTCTTCTTATCGAATGATCATCTTCGAGTAATTTAACGGATGATCAATGGGACTCTTGAACAAACGTATATTAGATAAAAAAAAGGAACATTAAACACGTATTCAATTTTGTTACTCAAAAGGACGTATAGAAATTGATCAAGATTGTTACAATACTCATGAAACAGCTCATTTTTGTTTTCATTAGAATGATTCATCCAATCAGAAAACCAACTGATCTTTTGTTTGGTTGATAGAAACAGGTACTGAAAATTGAAAAAGAAGGTACGTCATCACGATGAGAAACGTTCATTTTCGTATAAGACCATAAAATGAAAAGAGAAACCTTGCAAACTTGCTGCTTAAAATAACTATTCATATAAGCCTTAATAATTATGAATGTTGTCTCTGTTTTCCCTTGTTCAGTCTTTATCTTATAACCAAATAGCTGAAAATAATTTTATGATAGACATATTTTTTAGTCGTAGAACAAGATCTACAATGCATAAACAAATCTTTTGACGTGATGTGCTGAAAAAAAAGCAGGATGTCTTATTTTCTTCTTCAAAATTTAACACTATATGCTTGTGAGCGTGAGAAGAAAACAGTAAAAGTTCTTTTTAGATTACCCGACACGTTTTCTAATCTTCTTTGCTTGAAAAACATCAACGCGTTGCTTTGATATTATAAGAACAACCGAGGACGTTGCTTTTTCTTTTCTTTCTCCTTATTCAACAATCTAAGAGTTTGTTGAAAAGAAAAGTAATAAAAAGAATGGGATGAGATGAAGTTACTCAAACGCAAACAATGCTTTGCCAGAGAGAAATTTTTTCTTTCTATAGGCCGCCGGCAAAGAAAAAAACTCTCTCTCTTTCTATTTTAGCTTTAGTTTTACTATTAATAACGACCTTCACTAGGCGACATCTTAAACGAGAAATTCGCAGCATCAAAAATTGTTTTAAAATCAGTTTCTAACAATGTCGTTCTCAGCGAAACCAAGCAAAGAAGAAGTTAAAAGAGTAAGATCTATTTGTGAGTTTTCTTTTTAATGATTTTTTTTTACAGTTATTTAAGCAATTTGATAATGGAAATGGACATTTATCACTAGCAGAAATCGATCGAGCTGTCACACACTTTTATCCTCAACTTGGCATAAAAAAGAATGCTATTATGAGAGCATACAAAGCAGCTGATATTAGCGGAGTACGAGATATATTTTTATTTCATGTTAGAAATCATGCTTTTCTTGTAGAATGGCCTTGTCGAATTAAAAGAATTCGCAAAGATTCTTGAATTGCTACACTATTATAATAAATTAAGTGAAGTATTTGAAGAATTAGATACGAATGATGATCATCGTATTAGCTATACTGAATTTAAGAGAGGCTTTGAATTATTAGGGGAAGACAGCAATGATGAAAGTTATTTAAAAAATGAATTTAAGCAAGTCGACACCAACAATGGTGGCTTTATTTTATTTGATGAAGTAAGAGAAAAATTTAGTTAACAGATGTATGTTATATTCTTTTTTCTAGTTCTGTATGTATATGGCAAACAGAAAAGTAGAGTAAATCATTGAAGAATAAGAAAGAAAAAAAAACATTTGCTTTTATGTTGTCAGGTGTTTATCTAAAATAAAAGCTTGTTGTCAGTGACAAATGTTTGTTATAGTTTACAAAAGTTTGATGTGCATCGCGAAAAGTTTCTTTATTAATGTTTGAATCAGGCAACTAAACTAAAGATTTATCTATTAGATATCGGTGTGTCTATCTTGTTCTGATATTCATTACAAAATCAGATGTTGAAGAGAGAAAACTTCGTACACATGACAATCAGTGCAATTAGTATGCGTAACGTAATCTCATTTTTCAGCATTTTATTACGCGTGGCTGATGATTGGCGTATATAATTTAGAATCTATTTGATTAAAAAAATGCTAATTTATTGATACGATTTGTGTGAACAATACTTTTCTCATATTTGTTTTTTGCATAGTAAATATTGGACTGGGTAGATATAAAAATTCACGCCTTCAAATGGGGTTCAGAACAAATATATCCTACATTACTAATTGTTGTTCTGTCGAAAATAGAATTGCGAACCACACCAGCTATTGAGATTTACCCGTAAACCTTGAAATGATATTTAAGGTCAATTCATTTTATTGTCACATATCATTGCTGTTATAAAAGTGTATCTAATTTGACCTTTCAAGATACTGATTGATAGAGAATGCAACAGTACTTATAATAAAATTGAAAACCGAATGACCTGGCACACGTGAAAACGACATTCGACTCTATTTGAATTATGCACAAAAATAGTTCGTCAAGTAAAAAGTGAAATAAACCATAAAATGTCGTTAAAAACAAATAGTAGAGAAATATTGTATTATAGTTTTATTCAACTTGTCACAACCAAATGAAAATCGTATTCAGCCGTTTGACTCAATCAATCCTTCTTACTATTAATGCTCTTATCTTCAGTAAACTGGCAATACTCTTAAAAAGATTTCTACACCAATCAATTAGAATTTATCTTTCATGCTACATGAATAAGATGTATGACTAGCAATCTGCTTAAGCAAGAGTGAATCATCGAGAAATTTCCAACCAATGAAAAATAGATATGATTTCCTGGTGTATATTTCATTAAATTGTTGCTAAACTTATTTATCGTTAATATTTCTCGGTAAAAAAACTTCAAATATTAATTGATATTACAATCATGATCGGATAATCAACATAGCAAATTGCAAACACTGGTTTTATAATTAAATACTGGTTTGCCAGTACATCATATAATCTTTATGTCTGAAACTAATCTTTTATTAATGCCCCAGATAGGGTTTTCTGCTCAGATGAAAGCATTTTTTTTGCTTATCTTCGAAAAAAGTACCATACGAAGGTTATATAAGTGCATAAATGTAGATACGATTTTTCAGGACAAACAGAATTCGAACTGATAATATGATACTAGAGTATGATTATAGAAGATTCAATTTCCGTGAGGTTCATTCAACAAATTAGTATTCTTTTTTTTTATTGAATAAAATTTTAAGATTCTAGATAAATATGATGTTCATTTAATCAATAAGTGGCTAATATTATTTGAAAAAAAAATACAATCCTAATCACATTCAACACTTGATATATGTGATATCGGAGCTATGCGATTGTCACTCATACCTTGTTGACCGCACACTCCAATATTTTTTCACCAGTAAATATTTTACTTGTCGTCGAAATCGCTTTGATGAAATTAAAAATAAATAGAATGATCCCTAGAAAAAAAACCAAATAATTAACATACGATTTCAATAGCAAAAACAAAAAGTCAAATAACACACAGCATAACTTAAATAGAATAAAGAATAAGCAACGGCTCCTGCCAGTTGTAAAGTCGCTTTTTGAACTGGGTCAATTTGAGTTAATTGAACCTGTATGATGTATATACGATCAATAATATAAGGTAGTGTAACTGCCACTAAAAATGCTACACGAGCAAGAATCATTGCAGTCAGTTGTCTATCAAGTCTACGCCGGAAAATTGCTATCCGACTTTTTACAATACGACGAACATTGATATAGGCTAGTGTAGCAAATATTGACATAATCACGATCGGCAGCAGTCCAGAGAGTATTAAATAATAAATATATGTAACATAGGTATTAAATCCATCATAATATGTTGTACATCCGTATACGGGTAGAATCTTCATGAAAACTATGAATGGAATTCCATGTGCAAGCCAAACTATCACAGCACCGCAAGTAAGGCGACGAGCAAATTTGAGAGTACTTAATTGCTTTAAAAACGGATTATAATTAGTTGATAAATACTGGTCAATAGTAGCAAAACAAACAATACTAAGTGATATAAGTGTGAAACTTGTGCCAAATGATTGTCTCAATTTACACCAGACGATGGATCGTTGCGTTAGGTCATTATTGAAACCATTGATGGCAATACGCGACGTAAAGAAAACAAGTAGATGAATAGAGATAACGATTGATTCAGCGATAAGATAGAATGCCGATTGTTTCATTCGAAATGATCTTGAATTTGTAGAAACTATGATGTCAATTGCATGACCAAAAATACCAGCAAATAAAACTGCAAAACTTACAACAATTAGTATAATTTTGCGAAATATCAAGAATTTCTTGTGCTTGCAGTTCCATTGGCATGCTGTGAAAATGTCTGTTTCAATAGTAAATGAAAGCTTTCTATGGCATTGTGGGATAAATATTTATAAGTTTCTTTTTGTGCTGACAAAAACAAGATGATATCAAAAATATCTGACGTACGAATGAATGTAATTAAACCAGTAATCTTCTGAAGTCATAAGATGTAGTGTTGGAAATCTAATATTTATGAAAGGATAATGTTACTGTAGTTATTTTATGAACCAGTCAGCAGCGAAAATAGTAGATCTATTAAAAAGAACAAGAATATAATTGTTTTTCAAAATCAAATTCTCCACTATTTTATGAATAGATGAAGGTGTTGATTTGCTATCGTTCTTGTTGTATTCCAAGATTTTAGGTAATTCCGACATTGTGAATCAAAGAAATTTATTTCATTATTCTTACTTCTCGTGTTTTCCTTTTTGAACATTATGAAGCCTCAAGAATCAAATGACTGCTCTATGTTTTTCAATTATTGTAAATATGATATAATGTCCTACTTTGCCTATAGAAGAGAAAAGAGCATCCCCACATGATAAATCAATCTTTTGCGGAACAAAATTTTTATAGAATCATTTATCATAATTATTATACTTGTCGTTTACTGTTTTTTCCCAATTTATTGAATATCTTAATTCATGTAGTCTAATATATATAGTAGGCAGTCTTAATTAGCAATTATCTTGCGTTCAGTGATGAATAATAATAATTCATATATATGAATACTCAATTTAAAGAAATGAATATTTCATGAAAAGACAGTCTGCGAATTTATCATGCTGTTTTATCGAAAGCGAACGAATCCAGCCATCATAGTTTTTATCAGAGTTACTTACACTTGTTGTCGATTGTATTTGAATCGCATTTGTCTATTGCAGAACTATTGTTGAAATAAAATTGCGTGCATCTAAAATATTGAGTGATGTCATAATATCTTTACACCCGGTAACGACTTATTAGCACAAACACGCTACAGTATCCACATTAGGTGCATCCACTTGTGGGTATCCGAATTTGGGTATCCACATTTGGGTATTCACTTTTGGGTGTCCATATTTATGTATATGTTGTAGGCAAAATTGGAATTCAGGCAAATTCGGAATTTGCCTAGTCAAAATTAGAATTCTGATTCTGCCTAGGCAAAATCAAGATTCTAATTTTGACCGGATTTTTTTCAGGCAGAATTGGAATTCTAATTCTGCCCGGGCAAAATTAGAATCGGGCTAGAGATAAATTCTTAATAAGAAAATAATCAAAATTTAAGTGTTATAACTATATTTTATTCAACAAANTACCCAAAAAGTGGATACACCAAAACAACTCAAATTCCTCAGCTTTTCAAAACATATACATATACATAAATGTGGATACCCAAATGTGGATACCCAAAAGTGGATACGCTTAATGTAGTTACATCATGTTGTAAATGCACTAAGAATGGATACTCCATAAACTATTGTTGCATTGGGTATTGTGACGTAAAACTCTCGATACCCAGTGTAAAGGTATTATGACATCTATGTCCCTGTGGGAGAGTACAAGTATGGATACAAAAATTGATGGAGAGTTGTTGCAAAATAAACCTTTGCAGTATCACCAGGAGTCGTTGTTGACTTGATTTTAATATTAAAAAACCTAAATATTTTGGGTGCGGAAAAAGACCCTTATCTGCCCTTGTCCTTTATAATTTTTTTATCAAAACCAGAACTGCTGTAATTTATTCATTGTAATGAAAAATATTGTGCCAAAAAACAACGTGTTAATTAACTGTAAATTGTATAATTTCTAAGTTATTTTCTATAAGTTAACTATATTTAGGTGTTTGTTTTTTCTTTGTGTAATTAAAACATGTGTTATTTTGTGAAAATATATAATGTTATTGAAAATATATCTGAGAAAGAGGTTCTTTCCGTGACTAAAACTGATCATTGAAAACCTTTCCGGATTCTTTCCGGATTTTGAAAACAAAATTCCGGATTTTCGACTTTCACATCTGGCATCTCTGATCGAGACGCGATGAAATCGATAATCCATCGTCAAAATTTCTACGACTTGGCCACCGAACTCATGATTTCGGCTTACAGTGCGTAACATATGCAAGTGAAGAACTGCTATTTGTGCTGTTTTTATTATTAACAAAAGACATCAAATCTTATTAAAAAGCCCATTGACAAGATCAAACAATCAGTTTTCAGCACACAATTTAAATTAGTTGACACTAACAGCAAGTGTGAAAAGAGTTCAGAAAAATACTTATTAACAAATCCTATGGGATTTTTTCATGTTACCAGATAAAAGAATGTTTTTACTGCTTTCGTGCTCTTTTATTACTACGTGAGACTACTGTCTGTCGAATATTCTTAATATAAATGTCTTTTAAAGATTAAACGAGATTGAAAATTGTATTATTGTCATTGGTCAAGAGCTTTAGACTTATCTTGCTTTCTTAGAGTAAGATAATCTTGTACTTTTAAAAAAATTTATTTTTAGTATAGGGATTTTGTTACAGTGAGCGTCAAGTTAATAATATTGAAAACTTTGATTGATTCATTTCAAAATACTTACACGTTTATAACAGTTTAAACAATCAATTTCAACGATAAATGAAATAGTCAACTCGCGAAATGTATTACAATGCAAAATGCTTTTTTTTGTGAAGCTGTCGGATACTTTAAATTAAACATCGGATAGGGAAAAAGTCATTTAAAGGTGTTTGCTGTAGAAAAAAAGTGTTACACATAATTAAATCTCTTGACTTTCAATAGTCTCCGGAGCGACTTGATTATCCTGATGTGATTTATAACATCTTTTTCCGAATTGTTTCATAACAACATACATATATATGAGCCGGCGGCGAAATCTTGGTGATACAATTAAAAATAAATAGAAGGTGACCTAGAACGATAAAAAGAAAAGAACTAGAGGTGAAATTTATACAAAAAAATGACGTACTGCAGAATTAGTATAGAATAAAGCATAGGAAACACTTGATATTAATTGATCGACTGCAACTTGAATATAATCATTTGCATCGGTTTTCCTATTCAATATATGAATGCGAATTATTACAGACGGAAAAACTGTAACAACTAAAAGCGCAACTTTAGCTAAGACCATAGCGGTAAGTTGTTTATCACGCTGTCGTCGAATGGCTTGCACACGTAATTGTACAATGCGACGAACATTCATATACGCAAATAAACTAAATAATGATGATATGACAATGGGCATAACACTATTGAGAATAATAAAATGAAAGAATGAATAATACTGTGAGAACGCTACATTTTCTATGATGCATCCAAGTGTTGGGTGAAGTCGAAAAAAAATAAGGAAAACACTACCATAGATAGTCCAAATAATCAAAGCACCATAGACAAGACGATGTGCTAGTTTTAGCGTACTCATTTGTCTTATCCAAACGTGGTGATTAGTTGATAAATATTGATCAATAGCAGCAAAACAAACCGATGATAATGATATGAGTGTTAACGCAGAAGTTAGCATCGGTCGAAATTTACACCAAAAGTCTGATAATTGTGTTATATCAGTCTCAAAGGCTAGTTCACTAATACGGAATGGTAATACGACAAGTAGCAAACAACAATCACTGATTGATGTAGTAATTAAATAGAAGCCACATTGATTGTGTCGAATAGATTTCGAGCCAGTAAAAATCAAAATGTTCCAAGCATTTCCTATACACCCAACTATTGCAATAAGAGAATATCCATACATTGCTGAGTATTTCGAGACGAGTAGAATCGACGCTGCTACAGATGCAGATGACATATCTCTAATTAATGGTAGGAATGTGAGCCTGAAAGTATAAAAATATTGTTAAGATATAATTAATATGAAAAAGAAATAGCAAAGGAATTATTGTTGGGCTGTTGTTTTAAATGAAATTCATTTAACACTTGCAGATATCAGTCTAGTTAGATATAAGCATTTGCTAATTAAAAATTTTTCTATACAACAAATTTGTTTTCTGTCTCAAGGGCTTCATGAAATTTGATTTTTTTTTCAGTACTATTAGGAAGTAGATTTCTTCTAGCTATTGAAATATAATACTTCTTTTGATTTCCGCCTGTTAAAATTCATCAAAGCCTAATGGACGATGTGAATGTATGATAGAGTATAATGGAGATGTCTACCGCATTGCAAAGTTCTAAACTTTGATAATGGATATTCAAATTACTCGCTAATATGATGATACGAGGTTAGACATTAAGTGTATAGCTGCTATATAAAAACAACCTTTCTGATGATTTTTTGATTGCTATGAATTATTATAACAATTTAAGACAAGTAGTAAAAAACAGTATCTGCAATCATCTAGAACCTGTCTTGTTACATCAGAATCTTTAATCAAGTCAAATAACTAGAAGAAAAAATTATATATTTTACTTTGAAACAAGTAGGAATCATGTATGCTAACATCTTCAAAGAAATATGTCGTAACAAGAGGAATAAACATATAAAACTAAAAGTCTTTTTTCTATCTAGCCTGGTTCATAATTTGGAGTCGCTAATTCTTAAGAAAATCCTATAAAATTTAATATTGCTAAGCGATGTTCTTTTCTTTATTTATTTACCCTAAAACCTTTCTTCTATTGTGCCTCGACAACGTATCTAATCTATAGAAAAACACAAGGAAAATGTTCAAATATCAAAACAAGTTCAACAATTGAATAAGGATTCTAACAGGGAAAGGGCAAGGGCGTATAACATACGCTATCGGTCCATTTCGATGTTTTCAATTGAACATAGTCAAATTATATATGAAATGAGAGCTGCCGTTGACACAAGCATTTTAATACTAAATCTGTCACGAAAAAACAAGAATTTAAAAAAAGTTATAAACACTAATAAAAGTTGGCTATTTGACTGTTTCTCTTGAAAAGACTCTCCATTTTTCGACACAAATATATCACAATAAAACTGTTCTCATCTATACCATTAGATAGACATTTTTACGCGCTACCAAATAGGATGATTCCAAAAGTCAAGAAGACATTGACCACTTATAGATCGCTTCGACATGCACTTTTCTAAGTGCTGATTTTGTCGTTTTTTGCTACTCTCTATTGGATTATGGCTTCAAATACTATAGCTGTTGGAAAAAAAATTATGTTATATTCGGAATCAGCATCAAAAACTGAGTGAGTTTAACTGCATTTCAAATCTTTTCGAGTAATTAGATTTTCNACTCTCTATTTGATTATGGCTTCAAAGACTATAGCTGTTGGAAAAAAAATTATGTTATATTCGGAATCAGCATCAAAAACTGAGTGAGTTTAACTGCATTTCAAATCTTTTCGAGTAATTAGATTTTCGTCGAAAAGATTTCCTGTACTCCGCTTCCCTCAAGGGTTGAGTGGGAAAAATAAGTTCACCAGAACAACTTCGTTTCGTTTAGCGTTCTGGTATTTCGAGTTCTAATATCATTTTATATGTTTAAAATTTCATTACAATGGTCGAAATCGTGTTTCAATGAAATTAATATTTTCGCCCACGCTTGAGGTGGAGTACAGGAAATCTTTTCGACGAAAATCTAATTACTCGAAAAGATTTGAAATGCAGTTAAACTCACTCAGTTTTTGATGCTGATTCCGAATATAACATAATTTTTTTTCCAACAGCTATAGTCTTTGAAGCCATAATCCAATAGAGAGTAGCAAAAAACGACAAAATCAGCACTTAGAAAAGTGCATGTCGAAGCGATCTGTAAGTGGTCAATGTCTTCTTGACTTTTGGAATCATCCTATTTGGTAGCGCGTAAAAATGTCTATCGAGTGGTATAGATGAGAACAGTTTTATTGTGATATATTTGTGTCGAAAATGGGAGACTCTTTTCAAGAGAAACAGTCAAATAGTCAACTTTTGTTAGTGTTTATAACGTTTTTGAAATTATTGTTTTTTTTTGTGACAGATTTAGTATCAAAATGCTTGTATCAACGGCAGCTCTCATTTCATATATAATTTGACTATGTTCAGTTGAAACAAATCGAAATGAACCGATAGCGTATCTAATACGCCCCTGTTCTTTTATTCACAACTGCCACGTCAACAAAAGAAAACGTCTATTTTTTGACAACAATCTTTCTTTCTTAAAGAGAATTCAAGTTACTGCTCAAACCAGTTTACATTTTTAATGAGCAACAAAAGAAATATAAAAAGAATGTTCTACATTAGTTGTCATTAGAATACACGAAATGAAACCACTTCTGGATTTGATATTATAATCATGTTTACAGTTATCAAAGAAATCTGAGAAAGTATGCACTGACGCCTTTAAAATTTGAATTTTGATAGATATATGCTGTTTTCTACAAGATAAATAATTACTTTTTACATGTTCGTCAATTAATTTTCTAGTTCTTATTTTACGAAATCAGGAAAGATTTTTTTGCATGTGTCCATCAAGAAAAATTGTTGTAGCAGAGAAAAAAACGATCTCGAGTTTGTGGCAAGATGAATGTTGAGTGAATCTTAACTAATCCAGAAAAAAAGATTCTTCTACTGGTGAATTCTTATCGTTAAATGTTTATTACCAAAAACGACACATGGAAATAATATAATGTTGTTATCGCAATTTCTATTCGGCACATATATCATTTTAAATTAATAACGAATTCACATCTAACCATAATTCTAATCTAGAGGGGTTCAAATCGAATGAATTTTTCAGGTTGTTTAGAACCGGAGTGTCTAACCGGCTGTAAAATGAGTGGCTTTATACTATGATGTTTTCGCGGAGTATTTAGTAATTGGCAATTTCTATTAGGCATATATTTTAGCACAGCTTAGTTTTTCGTTTGAAGGAATGTATTTAGAATATAGAGCATAGCATTGTATATTTTTTAATTTTCAAGAAAAGCAAAAACAAATTGAAAGCCTTGAGGGAAACAGCACTCTAATTATAAACTTACTTTTCATGTAATAGTGACAAGGCTTAATTCGAAAACAGAATTACGCCATGCATTTCATCTTGGTCTGGTGTTACAAACGAAGTAAATTCATTAATTACAATCGGGCTATTTCAGAATCTATGGGTGCGACACAACCACCAGACATCAAGAATCCGTTGAAAGAAAACTTTGATACTATGTTGTTAAAAGATCATGCCATTCATGAAAGATGAAACATTGTATTGTACTATCGCATTACTCTCTATCTCGGTATTCATTTTTTTTTTATGAAAAACGACTAGTTTTTCTTCTGGAAAGGGGTGAAGGTTAACTGAACACCATTACTATACAAAGGCGCGCTGTTATTATAAATAGATAATCTATACACATTCATATTTAATGATATTTAATGATATAGCACTCGTTCTGAAGATAAAACAAGACTTTTATTATGTGTGAAGTCCAAAGAATCAGTTGTCGATATGATGATTTAGAAAAAAGCATACATATAATTCATCTAGACAGATAATAATTCGAAAAAAAAGAGAATCAGTTATGTTAATTAGTGTGAAAAACCATTGCTTATGCGTTATCAAAAGTGTCATTTTATCATTAAGAATATTTGTAAGAAAGATTAGAATCTATTGAGAGTAGTGTCACAGTAAAACCTCTACTAGTGAACACCACTCGCACTCCTAAGTGATCAACCTGCTTCACTGAACATCTTCCGGTTCCACCGAGCGATTTTTGCTGGTTGTGACCCCCTCCGGTGCCATCACCGCGCTATTCTGAATGTGAACGCTTTTTTAGTCCCTGTCAATTGAATGACCCTCTACAATGGAAACATGTGTATATGGCGCCATCTATCGGAGAGCTGATACTAAGCATCGGATTGGCTTGTTGTAAAATTGGCTAGAGAGAGAGAAAACAAAGAAGAGAAGGACTTTAACAGGTGAAAAATTCAATATTGTGTGTCGTTTCTTTGTTCGGTCATTTGATTGATCACTGTTAAATATGGCATCACGTGGAGAGCTTTGTCTAGAAGAAGAAAATGAAGTTGATCAAAGAAAACGAACGTGGAATATCTCATCGACAACGCGGTGATAACTTTCAGATAGCTCTTGATGCAGTCTCTAACATATTGAAACGAACGTGTGAATACATGAATGATTATGAAACATCTATTTTTTAATAGAATACAATTCATCATTGAAAAGAGCTAATAAATGTAGTCGAACTTGAAAAATCTTTTTAATTGCATAAATTCCCTCCGAAGTGATCACCCTGTCAGTCTAAGCGCTTTTCGATAGTCCCAACGGTGTTCACAATAGAGAGGTTTTACTGTAAATCAAAATGATTTAGTATTTCATGAAATAGTTTATGATTTCAAAATTGAATAATTCGAGTTGAACATGACAACAACAACAACAATCATGAAAAATAAAATAAGAATAATAATGTTCACACATGATATACAGAAAATAAAAGTTGAAATGATCTTTAAATTGAGTCACTGCAATAGATCTAGTTCTTACTTTCTCAAAATCGCACCATTAAAAATATAGTTCTCTTTGACAGACGATTTCTACCGGGTGAAACTCGTTACTCACTGGATTCATTTATTGAACACTGAAAAATGTATTGTCTTAGCAAGTACAGATGAATAAACTCAGATATAAAAGTTGATATAAATGAAAAAGACGTGAATCTAAATTTTAAATCAAGTACTCAAATGAATAAATAAGATAAATGCTTGAGAAATTTTCAGAGGGTTTTTACCGAAATTTCATGAATAGAAAATCTGCTGATCGAAGTCAGATTGGTTATTATTGCTAATGGTACTATTATTTCGTTCCACTCTACACAGTTAACACTATGCTACACCATTAGCATTCATGCTGCGTAATGCGGCTCAAAATTTTCGCTGTATGAGAAATATGCGTAATACCGAATGAACCTCTTGTTGTCACATAGTAACGTTCACACTAAATAATATTGTTCAGTATTCGAACGTTAAAACTCTTGATTAAACAATAGAATAAAACTTGTTGGCGGTCGATTTCGAAGCACAATATCAATGCGATTGTGGTTCGAGGTCAATATCTATCCCATCCGATGCAGGCGCAACTTGATTTTGAATTGTATTACCATGTCTTACAAAATCAGATATCTTTTTCCAGATATTTTTTGTCACAGCTCGTTTGACTTGCTGACGAAACCGATTCGAAACCAATAGAAATACATAAAAAGTACCCTAAAATGAAGTGAGAAATTTAAAAGAAACAAATACATGAAAGAAAATCATATTACTCACTCCAGAATTAGTATAAAACAAAGATGTGGTTATGCTTAATACTAATTTTTCAACTGCTACTTTAACACGGTCAGTTGAAGAAGTAGCAGGTTGATTAAGCTGGTAAATACGAAAGATCACAAAAGGTGAGGTCATAAAAAGTAAAAATGCCACTCGGGTTAAAATCATAGTGGTTAGTTGTCGGTCTAATTTCCGTTGAACTAACGGTACTTGACGTCTTATAATGCGACGAACATTGAGATAGGCAAGCATCGCAGAGCATCCAGATGTTGTTATAGGTAGAATCCCACTGAGTACACAAAAATGCACCAATGAATAATAACGTGAAAATCCCAAATTATAAACATCACAACCGAGCGTTGGTTGAATTTCAAAAAAGATATAAAATGGAATACTATGTAAACTCCAAGTAATAAGGGCAATACAAACAAGACGACGAGCCATTTTAAAACTACTTAATTGTCTTACCTGCGGGAGGTAATGAGTAGATAGATACTGATCAATAGCAGTAAAACATACTGCGGTGAATGATAACAATGACAACATTGAAACAACACCAAATCGTATTTTACACCATGCCAGAGATAGTAGTGTTGGATCATAACCAAAAGCAAATTGAGTGATACGAAATGGTAACACAATTATTAATAATAAGAAGTCAGCTATAGATCCAAAAATGAGATAAAAAGCACATTGATTTCGTCGAAAAATCTTTAAGCCGCTAAAAATCACAATGTTAAATAGATTACCAATGATACCACCAATTAAGACCACAAAGTAAACCGAAATAGTATATTTTTGAGTAGCACTTACAATTGCTTGTGCTACTGTTGACGATGACATTGTTTTTGGATAGATTAATTATTGTTTGATTTTCTTTCAAGAAATTTTTTCACTTCGTCATAACAAAATCTACAATCGTAAATCGAAGAATTGAGAAAAAGCATGTTGGCTATAGAAAAGCAGTACGGTTCGATAGATAAATAGATTTTGGCAAACTCTTTAGTATTTTCAAATTGTTTGTATTGTATAAGAAAAATTCTTTCTGACAAGCACAAGCACTTTAAAATTCCATCGAATGATAGAGAAAAAAGAAACATCAAGTTTAAGGTTAAAATAAGATTCAAGAAGAAATATTTTTGCATTTATTTTACTTCGGTCGAAGATCCTTTCAACAGAAACAAATGCTTAATGATTGACCTTGTGCTTTATTGTTTTTGAAAGAAGCGTGTTTTATGATTTTTTAATAAATACAAAAACTAACTTTACTTCGTGCGCTTCATCTCTACTCTATACGTTCTCTGCCGCTTAACATTTATCAAAAGCAGAGCTAATCTTATTATAATATTTTAGGCCATTTTAAAAAATGGAATTCTCCGTTGGACCATAGTGAGTGTTTATACACTATTTTAATTCAAGCAGCTAATGTAATAATGCGGAACTACTCAACGCTTTCATTCATAAATGCCACCTTATTATATCAAAATTCACTGTAAAAATTATTCAACTGTCTGACTAGTTTGGACAATGAGAAATTTACGTTTATCCAAAACAAAAACAAGTAGAACTCTTTCTTCATAATTTATAGCACATACTGATCTGAATAGTTACAATTTACTGTAGTCCTACAGGTTTACTGATAGTATATCATTTTAATAGCATCGTTTTTTTCTCATGTTCTTACCAAGTGAATTTTCTTTCCTGATGTTCTGGTTATGTAACCAGTTATGAACAGAACCTTTCTATATAAACCTAGAATTGTTAAAAACAGGAGTCTAATTAATTAAAATAGAAGGCAGACATGCAGATTTATTTTTAATTTAGTCTATCGTCCGTTCTAATTCAGCCAACGAAATGTTTGTCTTCGCTAGATAAATTGGGTTGTATCTTAGAATTTTGTTGAACGCAGGTCAATTATACACTTATTCTCTCAGAGACAGACTCGATTGCCTTGACGTACCTCTCCTCGACTATTTTACATTTACCGCGTTCGGTACTTCTATTCATAGTTCATATAATCATGCTCGAAGCAGCTAAGCATGCTCAGTTTGATAGACGGGCATTCAGTATTTTTCTGTTTGAATAGCGATTAACGAATTTCTCTTGAGTGATGTGAATCTGAAGAAAAAAACCGAGAAAATTAATTTTCAGCTACATATTCTCGTTTCTAACTAATGTTTACTATGTTGTTCTGCTTTCTAATGAAGTTGATTGACAAGATTCTTAGTTGTCATATGTCATTGAAAGGAAAGCATTAAAATAAGTGGACATTGTACATTACTCAAGGTAAAACGTTTCGTGTCTAATGTTTAGATATTCAGCACTGTTTTATTATTAATCTACGATCTTTTGTATGTTTTTAATGAATTAAAATCATGCAGAAGAATGCATTTAAATAAATCAACCAGCTTTCTTCTTGCTTTATTTTCAAAGAGAAAATATTCTTTTAAGCTTCGCTGTAAGAATTTTAAATCCGTACCACTCTTGAATAGGCAACAAGAAAATTGCAGTCTTAAAATAGTATTAACATAAGACTCTAGGTGATTAAATTATAGTTGCTTGAGATAAGCATTATCATTTTATTGCTTTGTTGTTCTAATGCTGAAACTAGATTACTTATTGTACTCGTGTGAGAATCACACTACAGCATGGTTGAATTGTGATGATAAGTCTTAGTCTAGTAGGAAAGCTCTGCTGAGATTAGAGATGAGTACATATGGGTCCATACACATTTTTGTTTTCTGGAAGTTGTACCACTGGGATTTTTTAAAAGAAAATGTCGCTCTCATTCTTATATCAGTTTCAAAATAGAATGTAAAGCTCAAGCTCGTAATGAGACTAATTGCTATTAATATGTTTACATTTCTGACATCTTCGATTCAGGCTATGAATAGACGGATAAATTTCAATATTGTGAGGTACGAAATAATTTTGTTTTTTACCAAATAAAATCATCTGATTGAGAATTTTATATGTGCAATGAAAAATGAATCTTTGAGCAAAAATTGATGTAGGATTTGCGTACGCTGAGAAAGACTTACCTCATGGAAAGAGAATAATTTTTAGAAACGACTTTTTAATGAATGATTTTCTATTAAAGATACTTAAATTCGGTCAACTTTTGCTTCTGATTATATGAATGTACGGATAAAGATTAAAATTTTAATTATAAAGAGTCACAAACATGATTATGATTACCAAAATATGATGGTATCTCTATTTTCACTAATGGCAATCTCGCTAGAGGTTCGGAACAGTGGCGGCGGAGCCATTGAAACAGGTGAGGCTTGAGCCTCACGTAGTTTTCGGTAGATGAGGCTCAGCCTCACCTAGATTTCGCAATATGAGACTCAGCCTCACTTGCTTTTGTACTGAATATTGCTATTTCCTTGTTCTTGCATCAGAGTAGAAGCAAAGAAAACTAGTTTTCGATATTTTCCAATCTTCTTTTTTTATACTGATCCTTTTTATTTTTACTGAAGTTCAATAAAACGAAGACTTATTTACTACTTGATGTTTCATAAAATTCCACGGTAGCAAAAAAATATGATGAGCCTCACCTAGCTTAATGACGCTCCGCCGCCCTTGGTTCGGGACTATGAGCTTCTATAAAATAAATGCTGACTTCCCTTAATATAAAGGGTGGTTAATTATCAATTCATTGTTAATACTAGCCTTCACATTATCGACGCTATGATAATAGTATCTTACTGAACATGACGAGACTTCTTTGAAGTAACACGCAGTTATTGTGCACATGCCATGTGTTGGATATTCTTCATGAACAGGGTTGCCACCTGATGAAGTCCAAAAAGCGGAAAATAGCGGAAAGAAAAACAGAGAAGGCGAGGGGAAAAGCGGAAGCTCATATTGTTCCAGATTTGTGGTGCTTCTGAGAATGTTAGGCATCTTTTTTTCATATTTATTGGATTTCATTTTATTTCATCAAAGTTTCAAAATATAAAAGAATGATGGCTCACGATATTTGTGAACAACAAGAATTGATTCAATAATATCAAATATTATTCTGTACGTAGGTTTGATATGCAACACGTTTTATACGAAAAAGCGGAACAGCGGGAAAATGTTGAAAAAGCGGAAGAGGTGGCAACCCTGTTCATGAAACAGTATAAGCGGAACTAAAAAAAACAGCATCATTTTGATTACCTGATAGTCTGGCCTCCGATTGCACTTTTTTCAAAATATAGGAATCCTTAGAGAATCAAGGTTGTCAAAAATATAGGTTTTCTGATAAAAAATGACAAAAAGAGAGGACATTTTATACGCCGCTTCTGTTCAATTGTTTTGGTGTTTTTTTGAATTGCTCTGCTCGAAAATCGTTTTAATAAAGCTGTTATAAGCGGTTCAACCGTAGCCAAGATCCTTATGTAATTTTTTCTACTGAAATAAGTCCCTAATTCGAGAATCATGATAAAAGTTTTTCACAAATCGATAAATAACAATAAAGTAGATCATAAGCTTTGAAAAAAATATACATGAAAAAGACAAGTACTATTTCTCATAATTAAAGGAGACGTTTCAGATTACGGACATGACTTCCCAAAAAATCTCAACCTAATTTTATTGTCCTGATAATCAGCATTCATCGCTTATTATTTTCCACAATTTTGTTTTGTATTTTATCATAACTCAATTTTTTCTGGTAATAAATAAGTGTAAATGAAAATGCGTATACACAGGATGGCGTAAAATTTCACGGGCTTTCATAATATGCCGTTACTAATTAAAAAAGGTGTTCTTTTGATAGCAATATTCTCAAAATACAGAGTGAAACTTATTTTTTCCAGGGGCATATATATATACAGCTTTTATATCTAACTAAAACTTCACTAAAAACCCGAAACTAGTACATGATCACTTTGTGAATGCTTTTTTTCTTTTGAACTATTTTGTATTTTGTACTTAGTATTAAACAATTTCTAAGTCAGTTCACTAAATAGGCGAAAGAAAAAATATTGTTTAAAACGAATGTCACTACAATACAACAATTTGTTCAAAACACATGATTATACACAATAAAAGTTTTTTTTTTCGTCTAAAGACAATAGCAAAATTAAGAGGTTTTCGGAAATTTTCTACTTTTTTCGATAGAAAATAGGACTTTTTTGAAAATATAGGTCGAACCGCAACCCAGGATATTGAATATGACGAACGAAGTACTTATTCAGGCTACACGGCTGTAAAATTTGCAAGTAGAAATAATTATTCATGCGATGTTCATTGAAACACAGATTAGAACGAGACGAGTATTTCAACATGAGAATAGATTTCTTATGTCTCATCACATGAAATTGGATATAAACAAAAGATTCTAGATCATTTTCGTGAGTAATATGTGCGTAGAAACTTTGTTTAACTCAATAATTTCAAGTAAATATTATTGTATCGCAATTAAATTTAATATTGGCACATTTTATCTATAAAAGATAAATGCTTACTACTATCGCTCCACTAACTAAATTGGAAAAGATTACTAAAAATGTTTTTTTCTTGTTATCGATGAAACGAGAGTCATTGTTTAGTTACTTACACGTAAAAGGTACGAATAAAAGTGACATACAATTTTCCGTCAGTTTAAAAAAAAGTAAAATTGCATTTGCTACCTGTTAGCTGATCGTCGTAGCCAAATACTTCCGATCATCATTTTATAAGAAACTAAGGCTGATCCAGTTAAAACCTTATGGGGAAAAACTTTTAGACACTACTTGTCTTTATTTGAATTTTATATCCTTATTCTGTGTGAAAGGAACTAACTATTATATTAAAACTCCAGTTAAACTTTGAAATATTATCTGAAAGAAGAATTATTATGACGTCAATAAGATGCGCTTGTTTGCGTGATAAAAAATCTTCTTTGCGAAATGTATTTAAAAGCTATTAAGAAAATCATGGCAATAAAAGCTAATTAGATAGAGTGCTCTACAATGAAATAAAAAGAAATATGACTAGTTAACCCTTTCCGGCCCGTTGTTTGAAAATTGCCGTACCCCCCTAGGGGAAAATGTTGCCATATGGCAACACCGGGCCGGAAAGGGTTAAATGGAACGTTTTCCAAATATCAATTCGTTTCAGACAATTGACTTTTGATTTGGCGTTCCGATAGGCACTGGCGACTTATCATCGTGTTGCTTTTTGTTATTCCTATGAGCCTAAAACTATCGAGTGATTGAATGGCCAGAGTGCAAACTAAAATTTTGACTGTATACTAACTAAAAATCTTCAGTTTATCATAGGAACGTATTTACTTCAAAGTGAATCTTTGTCTAAATTTGATCATGAAAATTTTCTACGCGCAGAAAGGAAAAAAAAGGTTTTTTACTCAACAAGTGTAGACTTAGGGTAAAAGTAAAAGTAGATTTTTTAATACTAACCATAGTGAATGATTGAATGACTAAATCTGCATAGAAACAATGTAACAGGTGGGCCATAAATAATTAGACTGTTAGTATTTTCCGAATTTCTTTTCTTCCTCGTATTCGGTTGAGCTGATTCTACTCTGAGAAGATTCCACGTTCAATTCTCTACAAAATGGTGTATAACCGATAATACGAAATTGTGAGATATTGTGAGATATTGTTTCGCCTGAACAAAATACGAGGTGTCCCAAAAAACTGAAGAAATGTAGCTTAAAAATTGGTATTTCGCTAATAATAAATCAAGTTGTTTAATCGTGTCCAAGCTAAATCTGTAAAATTGTAGCCTTTGAAAGTCTCTCTCGGTTGGTCATCAAAGCGAAATTCTTCTCTTTATTTTATCCTTTCATTCACGCCATCTGTAAAAGCCCCATCACTGGCTTTTAGCCTTTTTGACTTACTTATTAGGACCATTCGCAGATTGATCATATTTCGAACAAGATTAAACCAATCAGACTCGTTCAAGTGTCATATGAAAAAGAATATTTTTCCCTACTAAATACACACCCAAATAGTTTTAAATATTGTTTTGTTAAAAAAATCGAGAAGATATCACTTCATAACACTAACATTTCGCTGATGTTATGGTGGCAAGCAACTAATTAGCCATTTTCTATCAGGTTAACGCAAGTAGAAAAAATGAATTTAGTCCCCATCAGATAGAGAATATCTGAATGTGTAAAAACATAGCTTGGGATCTGATTTGTATACAATTTTGACATAGATTTAAAATTGTAAAACTTTGCTAGAAAACGATTACATTTTTCAGTTTTTTTGGGACACCTCGTATCTTGTTCAGTCGAAATAATATCTCAAAATTTCGTATTATCGCTCATAGATCATTTTGTAGAGAATTAAACGTGAAATCTTTTCAGAGTAGAATCAGCTCAATCGAATACGAGGAAGAGAAGAAATTCGGAAAATACTAACAGTCTAATTATTTATGGCTCACCTGTTAGTTTGGCGGTATCTCATCAGACTGTAAAAGCTAAATAATTTAACAATATTGTTACACTTAACAGTAGGTTTTACACTGGACAATTATTGGCTCATTCAAAAATGAAAAAAGATTACCTAGATTTTTCTTGATTGCTTTTTATATAAATACGGATGAGCATAGCTAGTTTTCACTGTTGAAAAGGCCAGGCGAAACCATAATATAACGGATTTTGTTAAGGCTTATGTAGAATATTTTTAATCAACTTTTGTATACAAAATACCGAATAAGATTTCATGTTGTGACACGAGAAAAAAGTCATGTTTATCAAAGTCGTTATGCGGCAGATAGGGTTGCAATTCCGAATAGAATATCTATAAGTTCTAAATGATGAAATCCAAAAAGTTTGAAATTTGACTATTTTTGTATCTAATCTATCATTTATTCAAACGGATACCTAACAACTGAAAACTTATTGAAATCATTTTATAGGAAGCGTTAGTTATAAAAAAAAAAAGATTAATCATAAAACAACCTTAAGAAGATCAAGTGAAACTTTTTATGGTTTACAAATTGAGCCGATCTCATTTTAATTGAACCAACAACAACTGTCTATTTTGATTTTACTCAGAAATATATTCATTACCTCTCTGTTGTCAAGATAGGCAAAGATCATAAATAAAACTTGTTGAGGCTTGTGATTTCTGAATCTATTCAAGATAAGTTTGATAACGGGTCAATAAATATTTATCAATCGTGGGAAGAAAACACGTTGATGAAAATTATTATCGAACAATTGCTTTCAATTTACACATAAAATTGAATATCTGCGTTGGATTTCGTGCAAAAACTTGATTTACAATCGAACGTAAGAAAGCAATAATTAATCTAATAGCTCTTCCCCATTGACATGACTTGGCACTGAGATAAAAATAATAAAAAACTTGAAAGTACAATATTAATGATAACCCGAAGAAAATAAAAGTATTATAAACCTATCTGAATATGTGTTCATATGAATAGCTTTGTTGATAACGATGAGTCGGTAAAAATTATTTTTGGCAGCCGGTTTCTTTCTATCGTATCAATGTCTCGAAACCAATCTAAATAAATACTAAACTGCGATGTCACATTTAGCCTCAAGCAATTGTGTATTTGGATTCATTTTCTTGCTGTGCGTTCGCAAGGTCATATTTGTTTTTCAACTTATCAAACGGAAAAATATTTACTGCATTAAATGAACTGAATTATATATGCTAATATCTTTTGATTAAAAAAGAAACTAAATAATTCAGTGCATGGTTGCATTTATTTGATAAAAAAAATGAAATTTCATCAATATTTTACATTTTCCTTTCAAATATCACAATGAAATATGTAAACGGTTATCTTCGCCCCCGAACTCAACTTGAACTTTGCTGTTTAGTCCATTCAAAGATTTATAATCGTTAAACCACGACATAAAGGCGTCTGGATCAATACGAACATTTTGTTCGTGAATTGTTATGTGAATGTCTAATAGATGTACAAGCTTTCGAAGGCCGTATATTAGGTAAATGTATATGTCTTGAGCATCTTTGAATTCAAGATAGAGATAGCGTATGCTAGGAAGGTAAGTGCTCATTTGCCGAAGGATATCTGTTGGTTTTTTTATAGTACTTGAATTGAAATCAATGGTTAAACTGGTAATACGGGTTAAAACTGTTTCAAGGTTAAGTAGGGAAGCGTCGATTCGAAGACTTTGTACATTGGGTAAAAGATTTAATATCTTTGAAACTAGAAACAAGAAAAATCCGTTTGAATTCTATGAACAATTTTCTATACATACGGAAATTTATTGGATAGATTTGGTTGTACAAATAAATACGTTTAATATTGGCAAGTACAGATGTTGAAAACATTCTCTGAAGATCATTTAGAATATTATCAGCATCATAGGATTCAGAATTGGTTAATTCGGATGAAAACGACAACGATTTGAGATTGGTATAAACACGAGTTGGTAAAAGAGTATTCGACGGAGCATTTGTTTGAAGAGTAAAATGAAGTTCATAGACTTTTTTATAGTCGGAATTTTTTCCTTCTTTTATACTGGTTAAAAAGAACAAATAGAAAATGATTAGATTTACAATGCTTTCTCTTTCTTACGTCAGATCGTCATCTTGAAATATTTCTTTTGTTGTTTCTGCCTGTACTCCGTATAAATATGTTCTTGTACTATCTTTTTGACTGGGTAATGTGTATAACATAAGATGCTTTTTCGATAATGCATCAACATAATATTCAATAACAACTGGCCATCGAAGCCAAAACGAACTGGAAAATGATTGGATCATTCTACTAATGTCAATTTGAGTGCGGGGTGAGATTTGTGCTTCATTGATGGATAAACTGAATTTTTGTAATTTTGGTAAAAAATTACTAACGAGTTGTACCCAATTGGGTCCATATGCGTAGTCTTCGATAAGAAGCGATGAAAATGCTAATTTAGTTAATTTAGATAATTGCTGAAGAAGAGCTTTTGTTTCGAAAAATGGCGTATGCGTAACGTGCAATATCAAATTTGTCAAATGCGGTAGACAATCACGGAGTCCATCATATAAACTATAATCAAAATTATCCTGATTAATCGAAAAAAGATTTGGTCGATTATAACACATAATATTCAGTTTTTGAATATTAGGCAATCGCCTAAGTAATGGTGCTAAATGATGCATATAACATCCGTTTAATGTGAACGACACAATCGAGGTATTTACACCTAATAGACATGAACATTTTTATATATTTTTCTTATTAAATAAAATTATATTTACCAATCTCAGTATTGAACATAATAGAATCGTGTAATGCTAAATAAACTTTTTTCAGTGTTGTCATTTGAAATAGTATTTTAAGTAATCCTTGAGAATAATTCGGCGTATGTCTAGCTGTTCCTATTGATGTCACATGCAAATATTCAAGATTATTTACATAATTTAAACTCTCATAAAGACTTGACAAAATTGGATCCCATAAAATTAAATATTTAACTCGACTTAGTATATATTTTCTTATTTCAAAAGCAATCTCTAATTGTGTATCATTGATAATAAAACGATTTAATCGCCCATACGTATCGGACAATCGTAAACAATGAATCTGCTCGCGCGCATTGTATAAAACTGACTTATAGTAAACATCAAGTAAATATTTAGGTAATGCATTGCCTAGATCAATATTAATTGATTGACTAAATATAAGCGTATTTAGACGTTGCTTTATATTAAATAATGATATAAATAAATCTCGTGGACGACAATATGCGAATATATCGAGTATAAGTTCATTAGGAAGCTCTTCAAATTTCGAGATTGTATTTGTCATGAATATATCTAGAATAATTTATCAAAAAAACAAAAACCATGATTAAAATTTACAACATAACTTAGAAGAAGATTTCAATTTAAAGAAAATCTTCATCTTAAATAATAACGAATGTAAAATCAAACAGAGAAATATCATGGTCAGGTATGTAACAATTTTGAGTGTGTCAGTCAGAGGGGGGGGGGGGGGGGG